CGTATCCGGCTTCGCACCTCGGAAATAAACACAAGTTTTACCTCATCTCAAAATAATTGAAATGGATATTAGAAAGGTAGCAATTACAATCAGGATGTTGCTTAATAGGAGTTACCTAATTAATACTGTCATTAAATTACAAGTCATACTACGTCACAACTTTTCAAGATTTCCATGGAATCGTTTGCCTCCGTTAAATATTTAAATTCATTTTGCTATGGAAGTGCAATGTGTATAATAAATTAATGCGTAGGTACACTGAACTCTACCTGTCTCTGAAAAGTTTTCACCCTCTAGGGTAAATATCTGTGACACAACGGTAGACATGCATACGGGCAAACCCGAGTGTACAAGTTGTTATAACATATTTTTTGTTACCTATTATGTATTAGTAGGTAGACATACAACAATATACAAGCTTATCGAAAACTTATAAAAATGCAATTTAACGCCTCTCTCGAAAATTATAATCGAATAAAAAACCATTATGAAAATCCGTTTGAACTGGTATTGCTATTCATAGAGGCATAGTAACCGATACCTACCAATTTGAGAAACCTTGAAGACTTTTACTATGATTTTGACCCGGATCAGTTAGAATAAACGTTTGTATGCGCCGAGCAACGCGAGCGTGGTAACAAATCACCTAGTTGGCGTTTCGTACACTACACATGTGTACGTCGGTTACATTCTTTTCTACATGCCATACTATGAAAGGTGGCATCTGTTAGATCAAGGTGGCATTCTTCATTTGGTAGAGCAAGTGAATATTTTCTTTTCAGTCACATATACTTACTATTTAGTATAGAAATCAGTCTTCTGTTCAACCTGCCACCCTATATATTTATTACATCCGTGTAATCCGCCTCGTAAGGTTAACGTTCATCCTAAGGCAAATATGACCGGAGCAACAACTTAATTATAAGGTTCAAGCGTACGAGCAAAAAGTGCAAAATCCGCAATATTTGGTTACTTTACGAGTACATTATATATTATATGAGTTTATTAAATAGCCAGACCAATACCTAACTGATATACATAAAACACATTGAAGAAGCCACAAAGTCGTGTTCTTAAACAAGCCGATTCTTCACTAATAATGTTGTTTCATGATTTCAATGAGATTCTCGTAAAAACATTCAATACATTTTTTATGATCCATTAAACGGTCTTAATCTAGTTAAATATTTATGTCTAACCTTAAACATGGATAAACTTTCATTGTTTTATTAAAAAAATCTTATTTTTATGGAATTTCCAATTTAACATTTCTATTATACCACATTATCTCCATATTTTCGAACTTGTGATGTTGTTTTCCGCTTAATCTTTTCACGAGATAGGAATAAACGTGCCAAGGCCTTAGCGTGAACCTCAATAATTACAACTACATTTTTCTGATAATGGTGGCCATGGAGACTCGTCAACAATGAATAAAACATGATGATGCAACGGTTTACAGCAAGATTGTCTTTACATTGCACTGACAAAGGAATAAATGTAAGACCTAAAAGATAGCTAAGTCGGTAGGGAGCTTTTCTACCCTTATCTTTGCGTACACGATAATTAGATCCGTTCATGAAATCGATTAATAAAAATCAAATGAATACTCGACACTTTACACGTTTTCTAACATTTCCAGTTACCTTCGCGGACAGGTTTCCCCGCTTGGGTATTCCCGATGAAATAACCAAGCATCGAATTTACACTTGACAGCCTATAATTACAAGTTTTTAGATTTTTTTCCGTTACGTTAGTTACCATATTAAGCTAAGTGGATAATCACAATATTTACAAAACTAACTTACCTTTATTGGATAACCCCGCTAGGCTTGCTGCTCTAACATGATGTAGTTACTATGCTGAAAGTGCTAATTGTATCTGCCTTTTTAAAAGGGACCTTGTAACACTTGTCCTTTTGAAAGTTCCATGTATTTTATAAATTGTAATTTTTAACCCAGGATTCTTCGAATGGAAGATAATTTTATTTTTACATCCTCAAAGAACATCTTCCATCAATATCACAAGTTACTTGCTATAATCGTCACGTGACTTAATCACGACTCAATCGGGTTCACAATGTCATCGATCGTCATCATCAATTGTAATTATTTAAATATTTATGAGATTAATACATTTTCTGTATTTTGCTTCAATGATAAGTCCTTACCATCACGACGTGTTGGTTTGGTTAACACTTAATATGTTTGAGAAATTAAGATTAACAAACTAAAAACACAGTATGTGAAATAATACTTTTGATTTGATTTGATTTGAATGATAATATTTTACTATTTAGCAGGATCTCTGTCGTAGCTGCTACGATACGGAGATCGTAGCTACGAATATTGCATTTCCAAAGCTACGACAATTTTAAGCTTTTGGTGAGAATTTTGAAAGACAAAACCTAGGAAACTACAGGATTTTTTCTTTATTCATTTTGATAGATAATGAGCCCGATACAAGCTTGGAATTGCCCATCATTTGTGATGACGTAGAAACTCAAATTCACGTCAAACCACAAAAAGTTCATTAACTACCTGCGCATTACAGCAATGAAATATTGTAGCAGTGCTGTAACGTGACAACTATTTTTCCCAAAATAGATAAATATTGTGCTTAACCCTTAAGNAAAAATAATTATGAATTCTTCTGTCAATATAAACAAACTAATTTGAAAGCTTATAAAGAAATCCAGTTTGAACTCTGCATTGCACAAGTAAAAGTCATCTTTTCAGGCATGAAATAGGTGCTTAAGAGGGGAAGAGGAAGACCTTAAACCACCTGGTTGACGAATGTCCAAAAAAAGAACATGAAAGTATTGGAACTCCATGAACAATATCTATACGTTCAAGAAAGAATCAAATGGTGGCGCATGATTGGCAAAGCCGACCCCGCGTAACGGGATAAGGCGAGGTGCGAGTAGAAGAAAAAAAGTGCTTAAGTGTTCAATTGTCCTAGAAAGGGGTTGACAAAGTATTATATGCTGTATCAGTCGTGACTACTGACTACATTCCAAGCTCCGAGCAATCACTTCCTGGCGTGAGTAACCCTCGCAGATTCGCTCTCACGTGCCCGCACGGAATCACGCTTCTACCGAGCATGGGAAATATTGCAATGGCTGCTACTTATACTGTAAGTGCATAGATAATAATGGACGATACCTATTTATTATTGTTACAATCACACTTTATAATGTTATNATTTTGGAGTTATATTTCTGTGTCGAATTTATGAACGCTCTGTTCTGAGGGGATGTCTTCGAAGTTCGAAAAGTATCACGTAAATCAAGCTCTATTTATCTCTCTACATTCTGGAGACAACGTGCTACTTGATCGTCATATAAATATTGACTCATTATGTTTAAATATCATAAAAACCTATTAATTACATGTTAGGTGATGGTAAATTAAAGCATGCGTAACTAACACCCTGGGGTAAATTTCTACCCCACCTACCTGTAAAAGCCAAACGGATGATTTTTGTCACATCCCGCGTCTACGAGCTTAAAACACACACTCTGCATTGAGAATACACAAAACGACATTGCTCTAGCTTCACTAGAAAAAAAGATATGCCAATTTTTATACGCCTGGGGTAAAAAATTACCCCACGGTGTTACTTAAGGGTTAAATTACATTATTAGCTAAAAATAATTATGAATTCTTCCGTCGATATAAACAAACTAATTTGAAAGCTTGTAAAGAAATCCACCAGATGAAGGTCGCGGGAGGTACCTGGATGCAAGCGGCGCAGGACCGGTCTTTGTGGAAATCCTTGGGGGAGGCCTTTGTCCAGCAGTGGACGTCTTTCGGGTGAAACGAACGAACGAACGAAAGAAATCCAGTTTGAACTCTGCATTGCACAAGTAATAGTCATCTTTTCAGGCATGAAATAGGTTCTTATGAGGGAAAGAGGAAGACCTCAAACCACCTGGTTGACAAATGTCCAAAAGGACATGAAAGTATTGGGTGGGACTCCATGAACATTATAGACGTTCAAGAAAGAATCAAATGGCGGCGCATGATTGGCAAAGCCGACCCCGCGTAACGGGTTAAGGCGAGATAGAAGAAGAAATAAGTGCTTAAGTGTTCGATTGTCCTAGAAAGGGGTTGACAAAATATTATATGCTGTAGTAGTCGTGACTACTGACTACATTCCAAGCTCCGAGCAATCACTTCCTGGCGTGAGTAACCCTCGCAGATTCGCTCTCACGTGCCCGCACGGAATCACGCTTCTAGCGAGCATGGGAAATATTGCAATGGCTGGTACTTATACTGTAAGTGCATAGATAATAATGGACGATACCTATTTATTATTGTTACAATCACACTTTATAATGTTAGTACTGAATGTACTACTTATACGTTCAGGTTTTAAATGTAGTAGATAGGAATACCACGCTTATACTCGTTGTACCTACCTAATTTATAAATGTATCGTCTGTATGTATACTGTCGCATCAGGCTCTGCTGTGCTATGGTTGTAATTTTCGATATTTCGAGTAAACAAAATAATTAAAGCCCGAGGTTAAAAGTCGAAATAACGTCGAATAACGATGACAAATCCAAGCAGCCAACGGTCAAGCTCATTGCGGAACTAGCCTGAAGTGCTAGAGGCGATATTTTCTGTAAATATATTTATAAAAAATCAGTCCACCCTTAGGTTTAGGTCTTATCATCTCTACGAATAACTACTTAATGGTTAGGTAGATGTATTGTTCAAACATCGTGAGATGAAGAATTAGAATTTACGCAAAACACAGCTTAGGTAGTTCCACTCCATATGGCGGACTAATGTGGGCTGACGTTAGCTCATATGACGACAGTGTGTGGCAAAAGATCCAATCGGAATTCGGAACCCTGGACAGCTTATGAGCAATACTTGTAATCTAACGGTGGACAGCATTCCAGAGTAATCGGCGAAAGTACGAGTACATACTGTACTTATGTACATGTTGAGTATAGTACAGACAAACTGACCGAAATTCGCGACTCATGTGTAACGGTATCAGACGCATTCTACCGCTCAGAGCGTGGACGCGGAACTCGCCTGAGGCTGTGTTTACAGTAATTGATGCGAGATAATCGCCGATGGTAATCGATTATCGTTAGGGCCGGTACACATCATGAGACGCAAGCATTAGACTGAGACTCTGAGAGAGTATTAATCTTAACTACTTTCGTAGTATAAAAGGGCGAAAATAGGCTCAACGGTCACCAGATGTTTGATGACAATCATCGTTCATTGACGTGAGAAACACATACCTACGACTTACAGAAAATGTGAGAGTAACTGTTTTGTAATAAGTATTTTGTGACCTGAATCATGGAGTATGGAGAGATCACAAACCTGGATGGAGAACCTTGTTATGGATAATTTCATTCTGGGATTGGATTTTAAAATACAAAGTTTTGAAGAATGTGTGGCCACGCCTCTTGACACCAAATAGTAAGTACTTAAGTATTATTTTGAACTTTTTGCAATACTAATTATAGAAAGATACTCTGGACGGCGACCTTTCATAGTTTTACGGCGCTATTCGAAGAAATCCCAGGTCAAAGACCACTTTACCCAACTCGTGTGTTTGTTTTCCAACAAACGTGCGTCAACTTGGAAATAACAAAACACAGTGGCATTTTCCTTGTTTATGTTCCTAGCCCAAAATGGGTAGAGCAAGTCTATGAATGTCTTAATACCTAGTAATACCTAAACTGACTTCGGTGTTTTAGCAGGATTTTATCAGTAGCGTTACTTGTGATATCTTCTTGCTAGTTTGATCCGTGTACACTGTTCCTAAGAGGAGCCATTCAATCCGCCCCCTGCTGCGGACGACCCGCGAAGGCCCAGGTTCACATTCCACACATTCTCGTCTATTCAGAGGCTATGCTAATTCCAAACGCACTATCAAATTACCTACTGTCATCGTTCCTAACCGCCGCGCGTGACAGGTTTTCCGCAATTCCATGAAAATATGCGGAACTCATTTTGAGCAAATATGCTCATCTATTGACCATCCGGTTACAACGTTCGGCACCACATTTTTTAGGATAGTAAAAAAGTGGCATTAAGTACCTACTCTTATGAATTGAAATAAAAAGGTGGCTATAAACAGAAAACAACAAAGATAGATCAGTAAAAAAACATTTTCGCAGCTAGATCTGCAAGTTTCAACACCGGGTAAGTCTAGTATAGTATGACAATGTTTCTATAGAATATTTGATGTCCAAATTAGGACGGCTAGGAGACTATTTCACGGATGTAATCATCGTGCAGTTCTCACAGACGATGACTAGGCCCTCAAATATGCGACCTATAAAACACATTGCTTACAAAATCCAAGTGTTCCATCTCACGAAGCATTGTAGCTCTCCGCGCGGTCAATGTCAAACGCGTCGTGTGCCTTACGTAAATGTTGTTGTTATCCAATGCATGTCAATAGCAGCTCATTCGTATGCCTATGCGGATTCTCAGAGATTCCGGCTCAGTACGGAGTATTTATTACGTTTCGACACGATCTAAGGATTTTTTATTAGCATTTTTTGTAACAGTTTCCCACGGGTACGACAGCGGAATATTTAATTGACCGATTGAACGGATAAAAATAAGACTTGCGAACATCTCAGTAAAATAGCATTAATTTACTCGAAAAACAAAACCATTTCAGTCATACATTTCCTATACTATAATTACTGTAGGTATACCTAGTCATTTTAGTTGTTGTAACCTTTGTTTTGTTTGTATTCTCGTTATCGTATCGAAGCGAGATGTCTTACGTCTATCGTATCGCTTAATACCTACTATTTTTATTTCCATTTTCAACATGTACTTTATGTGTTTCAGTCAGATGCGAATAAATTGAAACAGTAGGTACTTACGTGAGAATGGACTCTACATAATTCAAACTAACACACATAAGTCGAAACGACATTGCCACGTTTCATTCATCGAATGATTCTCACAGTGATTACATAAGGTAATAAGACGACCAAGTTCACGGTCAGCAAGATCCACAGTCGGTCATTTTCACTCGAGCAGCGGGCGTCGTCGAACAAGGCGCGTCTAGATTCCTAGCTCGGAGGCTGCATCCGGGCGGAGGGAGCGAGTCGCGCGAATGTCAAGGAACCCTGCGCGCTGCGTCACCGCGCCCGCGCCAGTCGCAGCCGACATGTCTGCGCCGGCGCCTGCCTCGCGCCGCGCGCTGCTCCTGCTCGCGCTCGCGCTCGTCGCGGCCGCTCAACTCGTCGGTGAGTTCACGACTTCACATCGAAAACAACTCGCAATAGACGACCTAGCGGTTACATTAAAATACAGATTAATATTTTTATGCAACCTCCATTCAAGAATTCAAATCTATCGACTTTAATTAATGTTCACGATCGTCTATTACAGAAACGCAAGACGTGTTATGCAAAAGGGACGGCCTCTTCGCCGACTACGACAGCGAGTGTCGGGAGTACGTAAAATGTGCGGGTGGTGTGATGAAAAACAGATACTCCTGCGGCCCCGGACGCGTCTTCAGCGAGGTGGCGGGGGCGTGCGTGCCGCGCCGGCGCCAGCCCTGCATCAGGCGCCGGTGCGCGCCCGAAGATTCGCTGGCCTACGCCACCCCCGGCACCGCCTGCCGCCACTACTACCGCTGCGAGAACGGAACCGCCGTCGACCACGCGTGCCCCTCCGGCGCCTGGTTCGACCTCGACCGGCAGGCCTGCACGCGCGGCGCCGGCACCTGCTACGAGCCGCTGTGCGCCGGCCTCCCCGACGGCACCTACCCGGACGCGTCGCACGAGTGTCGGAGGAAGCTGGAGTGTCGCGGAGCCGACCTGAAAGCAGTGACGTCCTGCCCCGGGGGCCTGTGCTCCGCGAAGTGCGCGCCGCCGCGGTCGGCCGCGATCCCGCTGCCGGCGGGGGACGCCGACTTCTGCTCCGACGAGGCCTGCTCCTCGCTGTGCCACCAGGCCGCGGACGGGGCGTACGCGGACCGCTCCACCGGGTGTCGTGAATATTTCGTGTGCGAGGACCGGCGCGTGACCCGGCGCGGGGTGTGCGAGCCGGGGCTGCTGTTCTCGGGCGGCGGCTGCGAGCCGGCGGCGCTGACGCACTGCCCGCCGCCCGCGCGCAGCCCGTGCTTCAACCGCCCGGACGGGCTGCACCGCGACTGGCGCGACTGCTCGTCGTGGTTCGACTGCCGCCGCGAGCGGGTGGTCACGCGGGGCTCGTGCGAGCCGGGGCAGGTGTTCGACGGAGTGCGATGCGTGCCGTCGGAGCGGTTCACCTGCGAGGGCCCGGCGCCGTCGGCGCAGTGCGAGGGGCTGCCGAGCGGGACGTACCAGGACATGGAGTGGAACTGCACGCGGTACTACCACTGCGAGGGCTCGCTGCGGACCGGCCTGGCGTGCCCGGCGGGGCGGGTGTTCGACGGGGTGCGGTGCTCGGCGGCGGAGCGCTACCTGTGCCCGAGCCTGGAGCGGGACTCGTGCTTCGGGCGAGCGGACGGGCGCTACCGGGCGCTGGACACGGGCTGCCGCGGGTACTACGCGTGCGCCGGCGGCGAGAAGGCGGGCTACGCGTGCCCGGCGGGCCGCGTGTTCGACGGCGAGGCCTGCGTGCCCGCCGCGCCCGGCATCTGCCCCATCGACGACTACTCGTGCTCCGGGCTCGCGGACGGCTACCATGCGGAAATGGAATCGAGCTGCCACAGGTAAAAATATATTTTTATAAGCTCAATATTACGCTAATATTTGTAATCCCAAATTGAATCACATTTCGTTAAAATTTCTAATTTCATGAAAAAATATTAGTGCTTTATACGATGATTCACATATCTGTTTCTGTCATTGTAAAATTTATTAATTACAAAATTCCTCAATGCACCGATTAAGCACATCCCGAAACTACGTCAATCGGCCATTAAATTGCAATTAAGTATGCGGAAGTAATAGCAGTGTCGTAATAAGTCCGAATTAGAAAGTATAGGTAAACTACGTAAGATAAATACCTTAGTAATTAACCATGCTACATCATTACCCTTTTTATGACATTCTAAAAATGTTCAAGTGTTGAAAGGGATAGGCCCAAATGATCCCACCAAATTATACTAAACAGCTTGTCTTCTTTTGCAGATACTTTTACTGCCAAGGCGGGGACAGACTAGCAACTTTATCGTGCCTCGGGGGCAAGATATTCGATGGGCACGCGTGTGTGGACCCCTCAAAACACGAGTGCGGCGCAATGCCCGCGTCCATGATAGAAAATGGCGGCCAGTTCTGCGCGCGCGACGGATTCTTCATCCAGCAGGGCACCGAGTGCAAACGCTACTACTTCTGCGTCACCGGCATAAGAACTTTCCTCACCTGCCCTACCAACCAAATCTTCAACGGACAAGTGTGCGTGCCCGTCAACCAATTCACATGCCCTGGATGAGAATCAAAAGGGTATAGTTAGAAAAAAATACGGCCCCAAGGGCGCCCCTCGACGCGTCCAGGAGACACCGCGACGTACCTGACTTATTTATTCCTATAAGGCTGTGACTAAATACTTATTTTAATTAGGACTAGCTCTACCTCTTATAAATAATACACTTCACTTTTTACTATCATTTTATTGGCATAGAAATTTTAAGCAGCCTAACTAGTGTCTAATAAATTACACAGTGACTATATCTTACATGTAAACTTACAAACACAATACAGCAAGCCCCGTGAATAGAAAAATAACTTCTTTTAACACAGTAAAAGATCAACTAAACATTTTTAAATTACAGATAAATATATTATTTTGCAACAAAATCTCTTAAAAAGTGAATTAATTTAAGGTGTTCGACAAATAAATTATAAAATTAATTATAGTTAGCACGAGTAAGTAATACAAGATAAGTTCAACATATGACAATATAATTTTGAATTAAAAATATTAAACATTTTCTTTATATTTTGATTCATTAAGTTTGGCAATACTCATTTATATTTAATAAAACGTATAACATAATATTTAATTCGTAATCTATGTATGTATAATAAAAATTATTTGCATACATAATATTGTTTTTTTCGTTTTCAATTTCAAGTCTATAAATACATTTCTATACATTTTTTTACATTAAACTTCGAACAAGTACGACCCTACGCTAGTCCAATTTCATAACATGTCTTTTTATAATACAAGGACACGTTAATTTAATTTATACACAATTTAAACTTCAATTGGTCCTCAGCGAAAGGAGTGATCAATGCAAAAGTGGCTCCGAACGATACTGCAAAAAAACCCCTTTACAAAATCCATGGAAATTAAAACAGGGTCATAGACCATAAACGTTGCATGATTTGAGGAATACGAGACCACGGAGATTATATTTCTCAGAGACTCAGTACTTATCGTTAAAACTACTTTCAGCAGAATTCATAACTTTTCTATAGATTTCGACAAGGCTTTTGCAAGTACCGTTCGACGGCACAAGGGACCTAACATGTTGCACCATTTGACTGCCAAGTAGGGTTTCTGCTCGAGCTTTCTCGAACTCGAGAAAACTCGAGAAATTTGGCTACATTCGAGACGAGAAAAAAATTACCGGAGCTCGAGAATTCTCGAGTCTCGAATTTGAAGCTTTAATATTCTTGAAAGCCTATTTTCTTAGACAAAAGTAAGATTTTAATTATTTAATAGGTTAACGTTTCTTTTAGACTGGTCTAGTCTTTCCTTTTTTACCCTACTGCGTGACGCAAAGGAGTGATAATGCTTTTAACAGCCTGTGTATGTATGTTTTTTGAAGCACTATAGAGACCAAACTCCGGGGTCGATTTTTATGATTCGCACGTCAATCGATTCCTCTCAGTCCGGCGAGTGTCACTAAAGACTATCGTTAGATTTGTTTTAACTTTAAATATATTAACATGGCCGATTTTGGCGCTATATGTATTAAAAAAATATCTCAAACCTATCGAGTGGGGTATCAAAATAAAGGGTTTTTAAATAGCTTGCAAAATGTATTTTCTTTAACTAAAAGATTAAAATAAAAATATTATTAAAAAAAAAACCCAACTGGGTAAAAATGAACTAAGAAGATAAAAACAAGACAGTGTTCACGAATGCAGTCGGAAGCATCAAACACTTATCATCATCATCATCAACAGCCCTTTACAGTCCACTGCTGGACTATGAGCCTCCTCCGCGGGAAGAGTAGGGGTTGGTGACAAATGTATTCTATTCTGCCGTCACCACACGGCTTATCACCCACTACTTATCACCAACAAAAAAAATAGTCACTGATGCCTTCGACTGCATTTGTGAACACTTTGTCTTGTTCCTATCTTTTCAGTTCATTTTTACGTAGTTGGGTTTTTGTTTTTCTGTATGTTAGATTTTAAAAAACCTGTGTTTTTAGCAAATTTCAATCGATTTCAACAATTTTAATTAAAAGACTCGAGACCCGAGAAAACTCGAGACTGTGGCCTCGAGAATTCCCGAAACTCGAGAAAAAAAATAGGTCGAGAAATCAGAAACCCTACTGCCAAGGTAAATACCCTATAATGTCTAGCTAAGCAGACTATAATGACATAATTTAGATGTTCGTTTACATTAACAAGACAAAAAATAGCGCGAAAAAATCCTAATGTTTAAAACATAGCAAAAAGTCTGCCCAGTTTAAGGTTGGAATTAATGAACAATTTATTTAATAAACTATCTCTTTCTAATGAATATACCTACTAAACATATAACTAGCCAAACTGTCAAAGACAACAATTCGTGTATATTTATATAAAGTATCGTACAGACAGCGATAAATTTAGAATACAGAAAAACTAACTAATGTAGTTTTAGAAGGCCCCTAGACAATAATCATGAATCGTTGACAAGTACAGATGTAGCCAATATTTTTAACATAAATATTTTACTAATGTTATATTTTTAGTGCTTTTAAACTGTAAACTAACACCAAAAATAGCATTTCTTAAACCTCTATTGAACTTTTCAGATTGAAGAAGTTGTAGTTTATTAATATTACTGGCACATTTTCATACAACAATAACACCAACAGAATCCAATTAACGCGTGTTGTATCAATAAGAAAAACATCGTAAACTGTAATGATAGCACGTGAATCGCAAATCAGTAATTTGCATTTATATCACGCACGATTGTTTACCCACATATCATTAGGTTTTCAAATCTAGCGCGGAACTATGAGCGTGCCATTCATCACAATGGCCTGAATAGACACGTGGCTTAATAATTTATATGTTCCAATTGTTACAATGTTACAAATAAGACCGATTGGTTGACATTCCAACCCTAATCCATATTGAAAGCATGCACATGCTACGACTTTGAGCANTGCGAGCAAGCGCGGATGTAAAGGCCCGTTCACACATCCAACTCGAAAACCATCATTGAAACAACATTCCTTAGGGTAAATAAGATTGTCAACTCTAGGCTTACATGTTAGAATATATTATTTTCTAGCTATATCGAAATTACTCTAAATTAGAATGTATGTCTTCTCTTTTCGCGTAAGGTTCAGAATTAATCCTCACCGTCGAACTTTAAATTCGAATTGGTAATCTGCCATTTGAATCATACACAAACAATAAATTGTTGAAATAACATTTTGACCAATAGGCATAGAAGAAAGTGACAACAGTTCAAAGTACACATTACTAATAATTTGAATGAATAAAACAATTGAAACTAAACTATGAACGGGCCTTATCAAGGGGCGTTATGCCATACGACACGGATTTAACAGCGCCCTGGATCTATGTAGGTAAAGGTTAAAATACTTTTGCTATGAGAAACGCTTTCGACATGAGCATAGTTATTGTAGGCCTGTCGTGCGTCAGTTAACAACCGGACATCCGAGAGACAAGGTTCTCTTGGCAATAATTAACTGATTGACATTCATTGATTTAAAACACTACACGAATTCTATGAAAGTCCACACCCCGTTTGCTTAAGCTGTATATTTATAAGCTAAAGTAGTAGTTGTCTTACAGATTTAAAGCGAATTTAAGGGTTATCGCATACGAAACAAAACGTCTTAAAGGTCGTGAAAATACGCTTAGAAGTAAGGGAAAAGGGGAATGGAACACCGAAATAATCGTCTGCGATAACCCTATTGCATCACTTTGTAACTAACATTTATTTATTGTCATATATGACCATGGAATACGATAGCGCTAAATATTTATCTAAGTATGAAAGTTAACAGTATCAAGTCTGATTGCCTACTATTTAATTCATTTAGCTTTTAGACGTGAAAAGCTCATTTAGAATCCCAATTTAGGTATTATTTTTTATAATAATGAACTTTATATCTAAGATGGATACTTATTGTAATTAATATATTTTTAGGAGGTTTTCAGTAGGTTAGTAGGACAAGTCTAGGGATGTATGGAAGTAATAAATTATAATCTGTAGCTAAAGTGAAAATAAAATAATTCAAAATATCAATTCATAACATTAAAACGTGGAACAATATTTTTTAGGCTTAAATTTCGTCAATGTTGACATTATGATACTTTATGCATTATGTCGAGGTTCCAAATGAATGATTTTTTAAAGCTTGAAACATTTTTCGCAACAGGTAAGGATTTAATAGAATAAGGCTTGATCATCTAGTAGGTAATTAATTACATTTGACTGGTTTACATTCTTCAGGGTTTGTGGCCACGGTTCATACATTGTGGCTTTAACAACGCTGCATAACATAGATACAATAATCTTAACAAATATGCGCTTTTTGTTTAAGATGATAAGAATAGTCAAGGAATGACTTCGGGGCTACTCTCAAACGCCGTTTTCGTTTTATGGGTCTATCTATCGCTGTCACTCATAGCAACATCCCTCCATGAGTGAGAGAGATAGATTGTGGAGAGTAGCTCCGCTGGTGTAACGAGTTAACAGACGATGAAGTTAGACTTCTCTCATCACACCCGAGTCAGTTTAGAAACGATCATTTTGTAAACCCAGCCGGGAAACAAACTCGGGACTATTTGCGCTAAAGCAAAATCACCGAGCTACTCCGCCTTCGGTAGTAAATACTATTTAATTGAACAATTCAATAAAGAGATCCGAATATGTATAAATAAAATATAATATTTTAATGGAACGTTTTTAGTTATTCCATATTTTGATCTTATCAACCCTATAATTACTCTGAACAGGAAAGGCTCAGTCTTAGTTTAATGACGAAAGATAATGATTACCAACAAAATAACACATATTAAAATATAAATATTAAGCTGTATTAAAGTATGAATGTTTCAACTTAACATGTTTAATTAGTACAATATATCGATAACAGAAAAGCCGATTTTAACATCCAAAATCAGTATTTCGGATAAGCTAAAGTGTTGATGAGCACCTTCATGCTGTATAACGTAGAGCTGGCTAGCTGGAACCGCTATGATAGAACTGACATTTATATTCAAATGTGATGTTGTCTTTAGCTGTATAATGGCTGTGCCGAACTCTCTATTGTAAATATTCTACGTGTGCTTTGATACCAATATATTTATTATGTTACTACCGACCACTGTGTTTATTGCTCTGTAGCGGACTTAATATATCCCTAACATAAAGCATACAAAAAATATCTAAGGAATTTATTTATCAATAAAAGTGGATGGTGATGATTACAACCACTGAAAAAGTTCTCGATACAAGTGAAGTGAATTCAGTAATCACCATGAAATAGTACATTGATTGACATTTAAGCGAATTCAAACTTTAGGTCGATCAAAACAGGATCTACTTTGACTAGCGATAGTCGTTGATTTCTCAAGGAAGGTTAATTGAACATGCGAAGAGGTTAATGTAATATGTGTATGACTGTGGACTGGAACATTATTTGCATCTGCACTTTTGAGGATCAGTTCATCAAATCTGAACTCTGTGAATAATACAGTAGAATCTTTCTTCGACTGCAAGCGGACCGTTGTTGAACAAACGTCTACAACTAGACGCGTTGCTAGCACTAGACAACAAATATAAACTTAATTTACATCGCAATAAAATCTATTATCAACTGGTAGCGATGCTGAAAATGGCGCTAGCACTGAGGTCCTATATCGATTAAATGGTATATGTGTGCCTACCATGAGTTTACGTTAGGTGAGCTCGCTAGCGAATACGTCAAAAAATTCTATGAAGATTTTATTTCTTGAAAGTAGCGCTGCACAATATGTCATACATTTAAATGTCATTTTTTTACGCAGTCGTTAGCGAGCACACCTAACGTAAACTCATGGTAGGCACACTGGTGACACTTTAGCGAATCCGAACTTTACGGTCGTCGCGATAGAATCTATTTCGACTTACAGTGGCTATTGGACGCTGGTGCCGGGTTTGGGGCCCGGTGCCAATAGCACGCTGATATCCCACACCTTGATGACGCGGTCTTTGCCCGCTGTGCACATCCTTCCCGTAGCTTCGTCCACGTATAGAGATGCTACAGCGTGTTTCATATCGTGGAATGACGCTAGCGATTCGCGACTGGAATAAGAAACGAAACAAATAATGTAGAAAATGCCATCTACGGTAAATATAAAAAACAGTGTAAACCAGCATCTATTACCACTAAATACATAAGATGCTGCAGTGTTTCGCTCGACGTGCTGTCGTCTGTACAATAATGATTTAGGGGACTTTTTTGATTGCCATGCTTTCATATTTTTCGGGACTATTCCCACCGCTGCAACCAGTGGCGGCGTAAGGCGTGGGCGACGTGGGCCACCGCCTACGGCCTCGCGGTACAAGGGGCCTCGCGCATCAAAAATTTTGAAAAAATGTATACAAGGTGATGACAATATCACAATACGACAATAAATGCAAACATTGACTATTAAATATAAATTCTTGATAGCTAAACAATGTAGTTAAAAATAAAAATATATTTTTTTCCAAACAAATTCAGCCATAATCAGACACAAAATTAAGCAACAACACGGTTTTAAGTGACGAACATTATTCTTTGGCGCAATATTCCTCCTCACTCATTCGCAAGAAATCAGAAACTGTGAATGAATAGACCATTGACACGTTTTTTTTATTATTTCATAAATTTTTATTTTTTTATTTTTTATTTTTTTGTTTAACAATGTTTCAACAGCATTAAATTGTAGGTACATAAATGTGCAGGAAGATACAACTTGAACATAAGCCAATTAAAGAAACACATTATATTACTAAAAGATTTTTAAATAAGTTAACGTGGGTAGGTAAGTGAACACTAAAACAATTCAAAACTAAGTAAAATCCGTCTTCAGGTCGCCACAGAACAAGGCCTCGCGAAATCTGTCTTGCCCACATCAAATTTAGGTCTTGCCCCGCCACTGGCTGCAACTTCTATGTAGCCAGGATCTACAGCTTGACCGCCAATAAAAACCCAACCAGTCAAGTTTCTCCCGGGAGAAAGTGTTATTGGACCCACAACCAAATCAATCAGAAGAACATAGGAGTTCGAAGTGCAAATATAATAGTTAAATAAATATAGACAGAGTAATCTCAAATAGGATTAATTATATTTAGCTACTGCAAACCTTATCTTATTTAAACCAAGGATCTTTATTATGTAACTATGTAAATTGAATGTTAAAAGGTATTTATTTACCGCAATAAAAATAATGAATGAGTCAACGTAAGAACAATTAAACAATTAACACGGTAATAAACAAGTTATAATCAACAATAAACTATTTATATGTTTTTTAAATCGTATAATTTTACATTTTAATAATGTTAGTATGTAGGTATGTATATTAAAAATATACAGCTGTTTATACAAACAATATTACAATAGTACGTTTAAAACATGCACGAGGCGCGCAAACAATTACACATGCGTTTGTATAAGGGTGTATTGTTGTAGAATTTAGTTATATTCCTGAGAAATAGTTTTTAAAAAACGTTTCATGCCAAAAAAATTTTGACTGTCATTTAATTTAAATATTTGTAAAATCATCAATTCCATAACATTGAAAAAAAAAGATCTTCCAGATGCGAAGAATTTGTGATATTCGACTTTTTGATAGGTTCTGAACTCCCTGTTTATTTATTTAATCAAAACTTATTTCCACAATGAACAGGGTATACAAGGCGAACTTTATGCCATGCAGCATTCTCCTGTGTGGTTAGAATAGTGTTATCTATCTATCCTTCAGTTAACCTTTAGGTAAAATAATAGTATGTGTCGACCCAATTAATTTCACAAATGTACACACGGCCACATTGTTACCTATCTAGCGTGTCGTAGCAGACGGTACAGACGCGCTGCGGGAACTCGAAGCCCATGACCGGCAGCGGCAGCCGGTGCGGCGAGCACGGCCTCAGGCCTGCGGGCAATAGTGTTGTACTCACGGCTCGTGCCGCAGCGTGTCGTAGCAGACGGTGCAGACGCGCTGCGGGAACTCGAAGCCCATGACCGGCAGCGGCAGCCGGTGCGGCGAGCACGGCCTCAGGCCTGCGGGCAATAGTGTTGTACTCACGGCTCGTGCCGCAGCGTGTCGTAGCAGACGGTGCAGACGCGCTGCGGGAACTCGAAGCCCATGACCGGCAGCGGCAGCCGGTGCGGCGAGCACGCGCCGCACACCGCCGCGCCGCACCAGCGGCAGTGATGCTGCCTCAGGCCTGCGGGCAATCGTCACGTAAGACCATCAGATAATATACCTGGCGGAATAGAGCAACAAAGGACTGAGCGGGCGAGATATCACTAGCAGCAACACTGTGATAATAAGAGATGCGTGATGTGACGTAACAGAATCGTTTCTTACAACTATTTGACGAAAAAGAAGGAGAAATGTTAGAGAGGCGCAGACTGGTCTCAGTTCTGCGGGGAACTAACACAAATATTATCTACAGATTAGAATATTATGTATTATTATCTCAATACACAGCCAGACACTTCACAAATATTAAATGGCGGGCCCATTCCCACCACTTTTTTCGAGCGATTTCAACGCGCGTTTTAAAAAAACAGACTATGTACCTACGCGATGACATCGCGAACGCAATCATTGTTTACCTATGCAGCAAAGCGAGTAATCTTCCTGTTTCAAGTTGAAACGCGCTAGTCGACTGCGCCTGATAAAAAAGTGATGAGAGAAGCTCAAAATACATACATGTAGCAACAACCTACAATAGGGATGTTTCCTGGGTCAAAAAGCAAGAGTTTTAATTAGTCCGTCAGTTAACTTATCAAAAAATACTCTACACGTATTTTTCACTTTTTCAGACTAATGAAAATTTAAAGAGATAAAGCGCGCCAAAGTTCATAAGAAGAGGCCCGTGACGTCACTGCTTGCAAAAGTGCTGCACGTTGTGACGTCGTGCAGAACTTCAACGCACCATAACTATGTAATTATTTGTTAGATTGATAAATAAAAATATATGTGTCCAATATTGTTTGATATTAAGAGNGAAAATATTGTCCGAACCCATAGTATTTCTCTTCGACAAATACTTTAACACATTGTGAACCACTTTTCTTTCACGACTATAAAAAGATTTTAGCAATTTAATTCACAAAATCAATTGCGCACATTTAAAATAAAGTTTGTTTACACTTTGACAGCAATAGACTGACATGCAAGGTGACATGTCAATGAAGTTTTCAGTTACTGTTGCCATTAAAAGAAATTAGTACCATTAATTTTCCGCAACATGGCGAGGATTTTTATGTTCCTGGTCAGGCTATAAATTGAATGTTAAAAGGTATTTTACCGCAATAAAAATAATGAATGAGTCAACGTAAAAACAATTAAACATGTCATAATCAACAATCAACTATTTATATGTTTTTTAAATCGTATAATTTTACATTTTAATAATGTTAGTATGTATGTATATTAAAAATAGATGAAAAAAGAATGGCTACAGCTGTTTATACAAACAATAATGGTACGGTTTTTAAAACATGTACGAGAAGCGCAAATGATTACACATGCGTTTGTTTATGGGTGTATTGTTGTAGAATTTAGTTATATTCTTGAGAAAAAGTTTTTAAAAAACGTTTTAAAACGTTTCATGCCAAAAAAATTTTGACTGACATTTAATTTAAATATTTGTAAAATCATCAATTCCATAACATTGAAAAAAAAAAAGATTTTCCAGATGCGAAGAATTTGTGAGATTCGACTTTTTGATGGGTTCTGAACTCCCTGTTTATTTATTTAATCAAAACTTATTTCCACAATGAACAGGGTACACAAGGCGAACTTTATGCCATGCAGCATTCTCCTGTGTGGTTAGAATAGTGTTATAGATAGTATCCTTCAGTTGACCTTTAGGTAAAATAATAGAACTATTCTCACTAATGTACCTACAACCCGATCGAGGTAACTGGAATGCGACTCTCCGTCGATGTGACGTCACGGTCGCCAGGTGCGCAGTTAGGTCGACCGAGTTGTATAAATAAATAGTATAGTGTTGTCAAATCAAAATCAAGTGGCAGTGGGCGGGGCACATAGCTCGTAGAGTTGACGGAAGACGTAGTGTGGGAAGGACTCCCACTAGGTGGACCGACGATCGGATGAAGGTCACAGGAGGTGCCTGGATGCGGGCGGCACAGGACCGGTCTCTGTGGCAAACCTTGGGGGAGGCCTTTGTCTAAAGCCCGGTCTGTGAGCACGTAGAATTTTGTCCAATGACCCCATGCTACCCATCCTTATCGCTCGCGCGTAATTATATTGCTGTCGCGACTGTGCGACGGGCGCCCGCTGGTCATTGAACAAAATTCTACGTGCTCACAGACCAGACTATAGCAGTGGACGTCTTTCGGCTGAAACGAATAGTGTTGTACTCACGGCTCGTGCCGCAGCGTGTCGTAGCAGACGGTGCAGACGCGCTGCGGGAACTCGAAGCCCATGACCGGCAGCGGCAGCCGGTGCGGCGAGCACGCGCCGCACACCGCCGCGCCGCACCAGCGGCAGTGGTGCTGCCTCAGGCCTGCGGGCAATAGCCATTTAGACAACATAATACTTTCTTCACAAATAAAGTCACAAAAGGTCCATGAAGATTCACATTTCACATAGGTCTCCCCCAATGCTTTCTATGTTGCCCGGTTGGTAGCGGCCTGCGTCCAGCGCCTTCCTGCTACCTTTATGATTCACATGACATAAGCGAAATGTTAAAAAGCATCGTTTGTTTAGAGCAGGGGTTCCCAAAGTGGGGAGCGCGCCACCCAGGAGAGGCGCTAAGACCTATTCAAAGGGGGCGCGGTGCTGTGCTGTGTAGTTACGTCCACGCAGCGCAGTGATCTCACGGGCCACACACTACTCAAGCTAATTTCGTCCTTAATACTAAGAAAGCTCACACATACCGGGCTGTTTCTTCTCCATCATAGCCCGCACGTTCCATATGAAAGGCGCGCGGCATATCTAGCACAGATCGGACTCCTTCCACGCCGGAGTCTCACGACGTTGAACGCTCATGAGTCGTGTCTACTAAATTCACGCTATTTTCGCACTTAATGCCAAGTAATCTCACACTTACCAAGCTGTTTCTTCTCCATCATAGCCCGCACGTTCCATATGAAAGGCGCGCGGCATATCTGGCACAGATCGGATTCCTGCCACGCAGGAGTCTCACGATATTGAACGCTCATGAGTCATGTCTACTAAATTCACGCTATTTTCTTTACTTTCTATTCTATTCTATTATCGCCCTTAATGCCAAGTAATCTCTCACTTACCGAGCTGTTTCTTCTCCATCATAGCCCGCACGTTCCATATGAAAGGCGCGCGGCAAATCTGGCACAGATCGGACTCCTTCCACGCAGGAGTCTCACGATATTGAACGCTCATGTCTACTAAATTCACGCTATTTTCGCCCTTAATGCCAAGTAAGCTCACACTTACCGAGTTGTTTCTTCTCCATCATAGCCCGCACGTTCCATATGAAAGGCGCGCGGCAAATCTGGCACAGATCGGACTCCTTCCACGCAGGAGTCTCACGATATTGAACGCTCATTAGTCATGTCTACTAAATTCACGCTATTTTCTTTACTTTCTATTCTATTCTATTTTCGCCCTTAATGCCAAGTAATCTTTCACTTACCGAGCTGTTTCTTCTCCATTATAGCTCGCACGTTCCATATGAAAGGCGCGCGGCATATCTGGCACAGATCGGACTCCTTCCACGCCGGATTCTCACGATATTGAACGCTCATGAGTCATGTCTACTAAATTCACGCTATTTTCGCCTTTAATGCCAAGTAAGCTCACACTTACCGAGCTGTTTCTTCTCCATCATAGCCCGCACGTTCCATATGAAAGGCGCGCGGCAAATCTGGCACAGATCGGACTCCTTCCACGCCGGAGTCTCACGATATTGAACGCTCATGAGTCATGTCTACTAAATTCACGCTATTTTCGCCCTTAATGCCAAGTAATCTCTCACTTACCGAGTTGTTTCTTCTCCATCATAGCCCGCACGTTCCATATGAAAGGCGCGCGGCAAATCTGGCACAGATCGGACTCCTTCCACGCCGGAGTCTCACGATATTGAACGCTCATGTCTACTAAATTCACGCTATTTTCGCCTTTAATGCCAAGTAAGCTCACACTTACCAAGCTGTTTCTTCTCCATCATAGCTCGCACGTTCCATATGAAAGGCGCGCGGCAAATCTGGCAAAGATCGGACTCCTTCCACGCAGGAGTCTCACGATATTGAACGCTCATGTCTACTAAATTCACGCTATTTTCTTTACTTTCTATTCTATTCTATTTTCGCCCTTAATGCCAAGTAATCTCNAATTCTCGATTTCTGCATGAAAAATGTGACAACGCTCTTAAACATGACGGACTAAAAAAATTTTTTTAGGAAACTAGCATATTCGTTTTTTTTTTTCTTCGATAGCACTAAAAAAGGGAACGACGCACGACAATTTGGAGTTCAGACATCCTAGTTTCCACGCAAGCGTCACACTTGCCGAGCGAAATGATCTCACACTAAGCCTGTCCGCAGACTATAGACTTTTTGCCGGCCGATAGTTAGGTTGGGCAGTTAATGAAAGTGCTCACATTGGCATTGGAACAACTGTTGGCCCACTAAAAGTCTACAGGGAGTCTTAAACAGAGTCACAAAGCAGAATCCACAACGAGGAAGCTCTTGGCCTGCATCTCACCTGGTGGAAAGACAGGCCAAAGATGGAAGCGAGCTTCACTCAGAATCTTCAACCACAGTTTTGCACCGGTTCACACTTACCAAGCCGTTTCATCTTCATCTTCTTCTCCGCTCGCAAATACTTACGTACCGTGCACGCTAATTTCAACCTTAATGACAACAAGCAAGCTCACACTTACCAAGCTGTTTCTTCTCCATCATAGCTCGCACGTTCCATATGAAAGGCGCGCGGCAAATCTGGCACAGATCGGATTCCTGTCACGCAGGAGTCTCACGATATTGAACGCTCATGAGTCATGTCTACTAAATTCACGCTATTTTCTTTACTTTCTATTCTATTCTATTTTCGCCCTTAATGCCGAGTAAGCTCACACTAACCGAGCTGTTTCTTCTCCATTATAGCCCGCACGTTCCATATGAAAGGCGCGCGGCATATCTGGCACAGATCGGACTCCTTCCACGCAGGAGTCTCACGATGTAGAACGCTCATGAGTCATGTCTACTAAATTCACGCTATTTTCGCTCTTAATGCCAAGTAATCTCACACTTACCGAGCTGTTTCTTCTCCATCATAGCCCGCACGTTCCATATAAAAGGCGCGCGGCAAATCTGGCACAGATCGGACTCCTTCCACGCCGGAGTCTCACGATGTAGAACGCTCATGAGTCATGTCTACTAAATTCACGCTATTTTCTTTACTTTCTATTCTATTCTATTTTCGCCCTTAATGCCAAGTAATCTCACACTTACCGAGTTGTTTCTTCTCCATCATAGCCCGCACGTTCCATATGAACGGCGCGCGGCAAATCTGGCACAGATCGGACTCCTTCCACGCCGGAGTCTCGCGTCGGCGCACACCCATCTCCCAAACACCAAGCGCGCAGTCCTCGCCCGCTGATACCAGCCGCTCGCAACTACCCACGTACCATAGACCTGTTACTTTGTTGCTGGAAACAGAAATTGAGTCAATTAACCTATGAATTAGTTATACATATTGAACTCCTAAAGCAAGTGGTTAAGACGTATGGATCGCGCAATATATATTCTACAATTTTGACAATACTTTTTAAATCTATATCTATACAGGGTATATCAGTATATCAGGGTATATGAGCCGACACTAACCTATGTTAACATGGGCATATAGATGGCATGGTGAAGTCAGAAATTTGATATCATCTTTTTAATTTTTTTAATTATCATACAAAATAAATTTTATAAAATCCGATTTGTATGAAAATTAAAATAATTAAAATGAAGATATCAATTTTCTGACTTCACCATACCATTTATATGCCCATGAAGAAGAAGAATAATAGAAGCGAAAGGTCACTGATTGACTGACTCACTCATCTCAGAAACTACAAGTGCTAGGAGTCTCAAATTTTGCATGGGGGTTCCTTTTAGAACGTAGGTGCTCACTAAGACGGGATTTTGCAAAATTCATCTTCTAAGGGGGTAAAACGAGATCAACGCGTACGAAGTCGCGGGCGGCCGCTAGTAATAGAAATAATCGCATTTAGGGTACAACACACATGCTACACAAAATCAAAAGGTTGAATTTATCTATTAATATAAATGCAACGTTTCGATGCAGATACAAAAAACTTGCAAAATATTATTTGCATTACACCTTTATCGCCAATAGCATTGCTCAAAGATAGTAAGCCGTTTGAATGCAAATGTAACCTAAATTTACCTATGGCCTTGAAGTTCGTACGCCGTGCCTTTTTGTCCCCCGATGTCCCAAACGATTATTGTCTGGTCGAAAGACCCGCTAAACAAAAGTTGAGGTAGAGGCGCCCAGTTCAAGACTCGCACCGATCTGAAAGGAAAAATATTAATGTCAAACAAGAAAGAAAGATTTTTCAATTCCTATATGCCCACAGTTCGTTGGAAGCCATAAAAGTATTATGTAAACATAAAAAGTGAGGAGTGTCTCTGCTTGATATAAAAAGGGGACGAGGGGTCAGAGGTAGTGATTACATCAGCATGTTTTTTTCTTTGTCTAGACTAGAAGATCCTAATCAGAACGCATATGGCAAACCCCATTTGTCTATGGACTGTATGTATGGTCAGGGATTTCTCAAAAACAATTTATTTTGCTTAGTCGCTCGCATGGTGTTAATTTACAAAGAAACGAAATAGGGGAATCACCACGCGCGCTGTCAACTATACATAATATGTATTAAACAGAGCAAGAAATAACTAAAATTCTGCTTACATTACACTCGTACTAAGTACTGTAGTGAGCAGACAGAATATTATCATATCTATAGTTGATGCAATAAAGACAGTATTACAACAATGTAAAGCTTATTTCGCGTTGACGCGGTCAAAGGCTCAGCCAAACCAACGCGATCAGCCGGCGTGCAGCGATGGCAATCAGAATTAATTGATCGCCATCTCTGCACGCCGGCTGATCGCGTTGGTTTGGCTGATCCTTTACTTGTTTCACAAAGAAACAACGATGTCTCTTCTAAGTACACAGAGACAGTATTAGTTCTTTTTCAGCTAAAAATAGATATTTATCTAAAGAATTTTGTTACTCACCCACTGTGTCCTTTTAAAGTAGTGACTAGAGTCGCGCCGTTGTTATCTAACTTCAGCATAGTTATCTGCCCGCTGTAATCGCCCACGAACGCGTATTTTGACTGGGAATCGAACCTGATGCTCGTTCAGGAAATATATTTTATCCTTGTTTCCTGGCATTGACCTTATCCACTAAAATTACGTAATATTGAGCGATACAAGTACAACATTTTGCATTGCCACATTACATTTAGAGTAGGCGCACACCGTTGATTTTTCGTCAGCCGATAGTTTAGTCGGGCAGTTGATCAGTATGGGCATGTAAGGGGATTGCGCACACTACGCCGATTTAAAATCGGGCACAACTATCGGCCAACTAAAAATCAACGGTGTGCGCCTACTCTTAAGCGTAGCTGCTAGCTGAACTAATGTCGGTAAATAATAAATTAGTAATCTCAGGTCATACACGCAATAAAAAGTAATCATTTATTCATTTTGTGTACATAACGTAATCATAGTTATTGTGTTATGCACTTTTACTAATTATTATTTCAAGAACTAACGCGAATTTCAACCAGAACTAAGAGTCGAAGTAGTCGCCATGATCAAAATTGGTCAGATGAATCACCATCATCATCATCATCAGGGTATATCAAAGTAAAAGTGTTTATTCAGTGCTTAGGCCCTTTCGAAGGCGTATACTCGTCCCAAATTTATCATATTACGTCTATAATAAATAAACCTAAAATATTATAAATGCGAAAGTTTGTATGGATGTTTGGATGTTAGCATGTTTGTTACTCTTTCACGCAAAAACTACTGAACGGATTTTGATGAAACTTTACAGCATTATCAATAATCAATAACCCAGAATAACATAGGCTATAATTTATGACAATCTGTGACAAACAAAATTTCACGAGTGCAAAGCCGCGGGCAAAAGGTAATCTATGATAATTCAAAAAGGATACTGCAAAGCGGTGCACCACGCCTCGAAGGAGTAGCCGCCGATCCTGCGGCCGGTCTCGCTGCAGTGGTACGCGAACAGCTTGTCCCGACTCACCGACAGCACCCACTCGCAGCTCAGAGAGAAAACCACGGCTGTCACTCGCGCGGTGTGTGCCAGGTATTCCCGGGACTAAAAGGCAAGTTTTTTTTACATTTCGTCGTACACAATAATAAATAGTGCAGGCAGAGATAGTATCTGTTAGGTGTACACATCCCAACACATTATCGTATCTCTAAGGAGCCTCTTCGTATTGGATCTGTATCCCCATGAACACCTTCCAAATGGACCTGCCTCTGCGCCATTCTGTCACCATGTAAGTCATTTTTAGCAACTTTTCGGGAGATTGGACAAAACTACGCGTCTTTCGATTCTCTAGTGAATGGCAGCAAATTGTCAAAACCGCCAAAATGTGACTTATGTGGTGATAGAACTTAACCGACCATTTGTTAAGTTGTAGCAGTGCAGAATAAACTGTCCGATGTAGGATGTAGGTTAGGTAGGTAAGAAAGATAAATTGGATATTTTTCAGAATTTCTACTAATTATTTTACAATGATTTAAAGGTGCAGAACATGAGAAACTGATGCAATCATTGCCTATCAAAATGACAATAAAATTGAGCATATAATATTCTGAAATAGTCTAAATGTGCCTATTGGATTTTAAATAAGACTATTATTTCAAAAAAAAAATTGCTATTATTTTATATGCACCAATAAATAAATTGTACCTACCAATAAATATCAGTTCTCAAAAATCTAAACTCTGGTTATGGAAATTAGTATAATGTTGAACCAAGGAAAACCAATCTACCTGAATTTGGTAAACATTATTTAGCAAATGGAGATACATTTCCACAACAGATAATTCCCCCATCCTCCACAGCAACAATAATTGGCTAAAGTAATGACCTTCAGTTTAATTATACTGCATATAACTTTGTACCTACATTAACAAAATCTGTAATACCTATATTCTAATTGGAAGACCATAGGAGCCATCAGAATATGTTTCTCAATTAGTCAAATAAATTCATAAATTGGAAGAATTGAACTTTCAGTCAAAGAAAGTAGTTCTCCTGTCCTACTTTAAGAGGTTTTACTCACTGGATTGATTCTATTGCAGTCTGCAGCTAATGTGAACTCTGACACTGTTCCATTCTCCTGGCCAATGAACAGTTGACGTGTTTCTGGAGTGTAGAACATTGACGTGCATCCTGATGGCATATACTGACAAATACTTGGCCAGTACTGCCCGGAGTCTCTCTTGAGCCATACTCGTACTGTCCTAAAATGTACATACAAGGTAGCATAAGGTACATAGCAACACACAACAACAGCATTGATAAAAATGTCCTTGAAAAGTAGATAAGTATTGAAGGTTTTGTGAACACATTCAATTTAATACCTACTTCTTGTTTACATTGTAGGCTAGTAAATTAACAACTTCACAGAATGCTTCGTCTGATCCGGCTTTTTATGGCGCCTACAATGATTCATTGTTGTGCTAAATTCTAAATAATACGTCAATAAGCCACGAGCAAACAGTGAAAATGACACCTGAGGGTACATACATGTACAGTAAAATTATCTACCGTATGGTTAGGAAAAGGCACTTTACAAGTAGCTGCTATTGAAAAGTATGAAGTAAAAGGCAAGATTGATTAGATATAATCAATTAGAACTCTTACTTATCATCGCAAACGCTAATTACTCCATCCTCCCCTGGAATTACAACTGCAGCGTTGACGTCGTCGGTGCACCCTTCTAATTTATTCAACAACGCAGGTTTTTTGGTAGTTGAGAACCTGTCATTAGGTGTTCTAGGTGCAGGCTTAATTTCAGCAGCCATTTCAAAGATTTTCTATGCAAATAAACACGAATAATCCGACACCTCTTTCACAAAACTACAAACGTCATAATAATTTTGACATTCCGGTTGTTGAGCGTCCTATTCTCCAATTATTCGATAAATCTATGGAAAAATTGATATAAGCCATTCTGCCAGTAATCCATTTATAAAATGGTTTAGTCGGTCCAAAAACTAATATAAATAAATAATAAAATTATTAAAATAATGTTATGAAAGAATAAATCAGATTTAAAAGTTTAAAACTTCCAGAGATTTAATTTACTTTATTTGTCGAATAGTTTTAGAATAGACCTCTAGATGCGTTTCNAGCGTTTCATTTTACGCATCCAAAGATTCGCTGATTTTACAGTTTCTGTAGTTTTTTTTATCCTTTGATGTTTGTCAATTTTATCATGTCATCGGGCTAAAATTGAAATCAAAACAACTTTGATTTATTAATGAATCAAAATAAAAAGAAGAGGAAATACAAAATAACAATATTTATTTTAACACGTTTACTGTGCGTGCAGTGGTGCACCACCACATGACAAAATGCGGGTAGATACTTAATTTTCGTTATCTTATTTTTCTCGCTTGTGCACATTTTTGCAGATTTCATAATTTATCCATAAGTAGGTACATGCTCTTGTTTTTTCCGTACTATTTCAATTTGTTTAACTCCTTTTAAAAAAAAGACCTAGGTGTGTTTAATATTTTTCTTTCTTTAAAATATTTTCTAGCGTAGTAGCGTGGGCAGGCCTCCTACTAGGTGGACCGACGATCTGGTAAAGGTCGCGGGAAGAGCCTGGATGCGGGCAGCGCAGGACCGTTCATTGTGGAAAACCTTGGGGGATGCCTTTGTCCTGCAGTGGACGTCATTTGGCTGAAACGAAGAAGAATATTTTCTAAGAGTTTCTAAGTAATATTTTGATAGGTAGGTAAATATCACTAATATCTGATTGCCCCCAAATTACTTAATTCATACGTTTCTAGAGGACGCCTTAAAAACTAAAGTTGTGTGAATTTTTATGCTCTCATGCACGACGAACGACGCGACGGCCGCCTAATACGGCTAGTTCTTCCATTTGTGCTGTAAACTTCGACGATTTCCAAGGCTGTAATTAAAATACCTATCCTCTACCTACCTCTAGACTTATCTACTTAGGTAGCACCTATACATGTAACGAAAAATACAAAATAAGCTAACTACCTTTCAGTCATGTGACCGTTAGGAACAGCAGGCCAGTAGGTAAGTAAGTACATGATAAAAAGAGTGGTGGAGTCTTCTGTTTTTTATTAATTTCGCGGATTTTTTATTTTTATTATTTTTCACAGAAATTGACATCTTTTCAGTAATTACAATTTTGCTTGGAGGGATCCAAGGGCCGCTAACGCAAGTTTTATATTATTAGTACAATAATAATCGTAGTTTCATTAAGACTATACTAAATATGATTAACACGGGTGGTATGGCGATGCGGCAAAAATCTTCTTTAAACTACCGAGAGCGAAACCTACAACAATAAATAATTTAAACTGAACATGACTGGCGGAACCATTCAGATACATCGAACTTAAGCAGTTTCCTTCAACATTAGATAAAATATTATTATTATAATTAAGATGTTTCGAAATACATGCTACAGTTAAGTAAATTTTTTGCTAAATTCCACTGATGGGTTCGTAATCCCTGACCTTTCTCGACATTGGCGCAGTGACGTCTAAACGGGTGTTGTCATACTAAAAAATATAACACAGATGTGAGGAAAATGAAGATTTATTGAAAAGTGTACCTCTACCTAAAAACCGCTTACCATTGGCATTGAAATAATCTTCAAGCAAATGTTTTCTTCGCTACTAAGAAATTGAGCATCCGAGAAATCGCTTTTTAATGTTAACGTTTTACTTTTGACATAGTAAATGCTCATAAATTCGTTATGTGCAAAATTTATATGGCTCAGTTTATCTTAAGTTTAAGAAATACATAGCGAACATTCGTTCGTTCCTTCGTTTCAATCAAATTATGACGTCCACTGCTGGACAAAAGGCCTCCCCCTAGGTTTTCCAGAATGAACGGTCCTGCGTTGCCCGCCCGCATCCAGGCTCTTCCCGCGACCTTTACCAGATCGTCGGTCCACCTAGTAGGAGGCCTGCCCACGCTATGTCTTCCAGCCCGTTGTCGCCATCAGTCGCCACTCGAGAACTTTTTTGCCCCANCTGCCCCAACGCCATCGTCTCTATGAGCTATGTGCCCCGCCCACTGCCACTTGATTTTAGCAATTCTGCGAGCTATATCGGTCACTGGTTCTCTGTGGCTAAAGTGAACATTCACTTAAAAAAAATTGCATTACATACAAAAAATAATGTAAGATAAATTAGGGTAAGATAAAAATTACGCTGGTATTACAAATTCGCGAATCCATCAATGTGGTGGTGAATGTGGGATTCCGTGTGGGTTCGGTCGAGTCGCGAGTAAATTGCGCCAGTGAAAACATTTCGATTATTTTTTATTACAGCAAGTGTCAGACAGTATTAAACCATGTCGCAGGCCTTGAAGAAAATATCAGTGCAGCTGTTACGGAATAATAACGTGGATGCAATCAACACCGGTCTCCGGGCAAGCAGGTAAACCTTGCCGGCTGTTCTTGGTTATTTACGTAATGTGGGATATTATTGCATTCATCTTAATTAATGTTTTTCAACATACGATGATACTGTTCACTGTTGCAAAAGTTATTTTGCTAAATTCACTAGAGAAAATATTCCAATAGGAAACCAATAACTAAGTAATATTATTTTTTCATTAAGTATTGTAAGTTTTGGATTTATTTAAATTGAATAAAAATTAATTAGCCCTATAAAAAAAAATCGGATGCTAAAAATATAAACATCTGACATGTTCTTGTTTTCAAATAAATATGTTTAAAAAAGTGCCTACTGCACAGTTATAATAATATGGAAGTAATATCGTAATGTTTCGGATTGCCCCCCAACTTCGCCAAAAATGACTACAGCAAAATGACGTTTAGGTACAAAAGGTGGTCCCCTTTGGACCCCCCTAACCAATCTATCTATATAAATAAAAATGAATTGCTGTTTATTAGTCTGATTAAAACTCGAGAACGGCTGGGCCGATTGAGCTGATTTTGGTTTTAAAATGTTTGTCGTAGTCCAGGGTAGGTCTAAACGGTGAGCAAATAAGGAAAAATTGCGATGGCTTATTTATTGCCTTTAAGGCGGAACAGAGTTCGCCGGGTCAGCTAGTGGTATAATAAAAATAGTCAATTTTAGACAATTTTTTTAAAGTCCTTGCGCACCTTTTCCTACACTCAAACCAAAGGGCCTACTTAATTATAATAATAAAAAAAAGATAATTAAACAAGTAAATGATTTTATTGATACTTTTCTAATTTAAGTCATAAAAACTAAGCCAACCTGATATAAATATTTATTTATTTTATCATTTTATAGTATTTTTAAATAACACATTAAACAACAAAATAAATTAAAATATTTATTTAAAAACATCTATTAAAATGATCTAAAAAATGTATCCTACAATTATTTATAATTTGTATCCTACAAGTAGTTACAAAAATAAAACTAATAATTAAACCTGGAAGTAATGGCTAGGTCAGTAATTGACTCTTTGTTCTTCAGTCATGAGATACAGAAATTACAGCAGTTACTTCAAAATTACAGCAGATTTATATCGACTAAGTAGTAACTAATATATTTTAAATATTATTTATTTTAGCACATGGTGGAGCAATGTCCAGATGGGCCCACCCGATGTGATCCTGGGCATCACCGAGGCGTACAAAAGGGACACCGACCCCAACAAAGTGAATCTCGGTGTGGGAGCCTACAGAGACGACGAGGGCAAACCTTTCATCCTCCCCTCAGTCAGAAAGGTAAGTCTAATTAAAAGTCATCATTTGAATCTATTCATTATCAATTAATGTAAATTCCAATAAGAAAAAGTTTGATCTGACGTCACAAATACACATCTGACATTTCTGTCCATGAACTGCTTCCAAAAAGTCCTGTTTGTTGTGATATTCTGTCGCCCGTATTCTATGAGACTATGAGGTCTCACATTGCGCGTGGATGCACAGGGTAAAACATGAACCAATCACAGAGGTCTATTCAATACTGTGCGTTTGATTTGCTGCATCACTTAAGCAAGCATCGTTTGTGAATACAGGTGTATGTTTTTGTGCTCTGTTAACTATTGGCGGTAAAACTTGGTTGTCGTGATCTTGGGTATTTCTTTCATATCAGTGACAAATTCTACTCTATTCTATATAGACTATTAAAATTGGTCTTATTTTTGTTATGGCCAGGCTGAAGAGATCATCCACAGTAAGAAGCTGAACCACGAGTATGCCCCTATCGGCGGTGAAGCCACATACACCGACGCTGTTGCCAAGCTGGCCTTTGGTGAAGACAGCCCGGTCATCAAGAACAAATCGAATTGCACTGTACAGGTAATACAACATTCTTCAGTCACTCAACATTGTTTCGTTGATTAACAGTATGCAATATTGAAATAATTCATGAAGCATGAAATAAGCATATCCAGCCCATTTTTTCATTGCTTTTGAGCTTAAGATGAGGTATTAAGGTTGAAAATATAGGAAGTTGGAATATTATTCCCACTGCCTTGCTAGTGGCCAATATACCTGAAATCATCCTGTACATTTTTAAAACTTGTGCAATAAAAATTAGTTGATGGCTGATATTGATTTTGATCACTTTTTCACAACTATAATAATAATTATAATTATTAGACTCTTCCAGGCTGAAAATCACGGTAAAACCATTGCTATAAGTTTCATCAATTACCTATTTCATCATCCGTAATTCTTCCAGACGCTCTCTGGCACCGGCGCCCTACGACTTGGCCTGGAGTTCATCACGAAGCACTACGCCAAGGCCAAGGAGGTGTGGATGCCGGCACCCACGTGGGGCAACCACCCTCAAATCTGCAACACGCTGTCGCTCAAACACAACAAGTACCGCTACTTCGACTCCAAGACCAACGGCTTCGACCTGCAAGGAGCTTTAGAAGATATTCGCGTAAGTAGACTTAATTAAAACCCTAGGTTCCAAGCCTATNTTAAGCATAACTATTATTATCCACTCTACATTTTTCATTGCTTTTGAATTTAAGATGAGGTACTAAGGTTGAAAATATAGGTTACCTAGTTGGAATATTATTCCCACTGCCTTGCTAGTGGCCAATACGCCTTAAATCATCCTGTACGTTTTTAAAACTTGTGCAATAAATAATAATCGTTGACGGCTGATATTGATTTTGATAACTTTTTCACAACTATAATTATTATCTTCTTAAGACTCTTCCAGGCTGAAAATCACGGTAACACCATTGCTACAAGTTTCATCAATTACCTATTTCATCATCCGTAATTCTTCCAGACGCTCTCTGGCACCGGCGCCTTACGACTTGGCCTGGAGTTCATCACGAAGCACTACGCCAAGGCCAAGGAGGTTTGGATGCCGGCACCCACGTGGGGCAACCACCCTCAAATCTGCAACACGCTGTCGCTCAAACACAACAAGTACCGCTACTTCGACTCCAAGACCAACGGCTTCGACCTGCAAGGAGCTTTGGAAGATATTCGCGTGAGTAGAGAATTTTATATAGACCAGTGGTCGGCAACCCTTTGGTAGGTAAGGGCCACATGGGACAACCACCCTCAAATCTGCAACACGCTGTCGCTCAAACACAACCAGTACCGCTACTTCGACTCCAAGACCAACGGCTTCGACCTGCAAGGAGCTTTGGAAGATATTCGCGTGAGTAGAGAATTTGATATAGACCAGTGGTCGGCAACCCTTTGGTAGGTAAGGGCCACATGGGACAACCACCCTCAAATCTGCAACACGCTGTCGCTCAAACAAGGAGCAAGGAGTAAGTGCAAGGAGTTTTGGAAAATATTCGCGTAAGTAGTGTACCTAATAAATAGTGACTTAATTAAAACCCTAGGCTCCGAGCCTATACACTCGAAGTTTTTTAAGCGCACCGTCGAAGAGCGTTACTCAAACACGCGTCGTCAGCGCGTTGAAAACGTGTGCATAGGCCCTTACAGTGCAGAGCATGTTTAAAAAATAATTGATTTTTGACGATATTAAAAATGAAAAAGGTTTATTTTTGTGGCAACATTTATGTGGCCAGTGCCCTATAAATAAAGTCTTAAACCAGTGGTCACCAACATTTTAGTAAACGTCGGTCACATATTGGTATAGTGGAGTGGAGGCAAGGGCAACAAAAACCAGATGGATTTTCATGTAAACAGCGTCGGGCCTGATCTAATTCAGTTATCATAAAAAAGGCAAAGTTGTTACATCAGAGTTTTTGGCATGAGAAGTTTTTATTTTTTCGCGTCAAACTCCCGAATGACGCATTAGCATTATATCTTAAGATTAGCTGTGGTATGGACTTTATTACCTATATCATTCCAAAGTTTCTTCCTTCCTAATTTCATCCTAATTATATTTTTGATATTTATCATTGCATCAAATTGTGTCACGGTGGTTCCAAATGCCAATAATTACGTGTATTATATCATTGATAACGAATATTGAGTGTGTAAAATTGATAGAAGCTTGATAGGAATCCACAAACACCGGTTATTGCTAGTCTTTGGCATTTGAACGATAAGATGTGTCCCCACGCGAACGCTGCGTGCGCGCTACAACAAACAAAATGCTATGACGTCAAGAATTATTGTCAACGGTTGATGCAAAAGCAATCGACCGTTACGCGACCTAATTAAAGACCTCAATAATTATATCGGGATTAATAATTTTTATTTGTTTATTTTTTAACCTTTCTGCTTGATCTAACTAAGTAAACACAGTTTGTCTGTTTTGTGTCACAAACCTGAACAAATACCTGCCATAGAAGATGATCGTCATGTAATTAATTTCTTATCTATAAATGCTGCCAAAAATTATGTTGAGAGTGCGATTGTAATATTTGCTAGTTTTCTTATTAGATAATTAAGCCACGAATATGATCTATCGTTCTCGTCGGTTGAGTTTGTTCAAGTGCATGATACACACACATGCATCATGTCGCAAGGTGCGATTCAAGGCTATACAACATTTAGGTGCCTATGGTTTAGGTCAATGATCATAATCAAATTGGAAGAAATTTTTTGATAGATGCCTATAGGCTTTAACTGGTTTACACATTATCTATCGTCGCCATAATAAGCTCTGTTTAATTTGGGGCTCGTTATTTGAGGTAGTTGGATCAATTTGCTTTATTTATTGCAGAAAATCCCGGAAGGATCGATTATCTTGCTCCACGCTTGCGCACACAACCCCACCGGAGTGGACCCAAAGAAGGAGGACTGGCATCAACTGTCAGCGGTAACTAGATTGTTATTTACTTCAGAATTAAATTTGGGACTGTGTCATATTTATTAGACTAGTTCCTAGGTTCTCCGAAAAATAGATGGCTATAGATTACGATTTTGATGAAGATTTTGTTTCTAGCAAAATAATGCCCCATTGTATCGCGTTAAAGAATATCAAATAATGCGCTCTTAAGGCTCTTTACTAAAGCATGATAATAATATTCCTTTAACCCTTGAGAATTTCTCTTGAGAAACTAATTGGCGCTACTGTCCTAAACTGCTAAGCCACTATAGCGAGTGACGGACCTTACGTTAGTGGCGCTAACTGGTGAGCGGAAATACGGTTAGTACACGAGATTCCCACCGCTGCAACTCCTGTGTAGCGAGGATATACAGCTTGACCGCCAGTAAAAAACCCAACCAGTGAAGGTCAAGTTTTCCCGGGGGAAAGTTAAACTGTCATTGGACCCGCAACAAAATTAATCAGAAGATCATAGGAGGAGTTCGAAGTTAATATGGTATACTACTACATTACATTTAAGTAACTAATTCAGTCTTGTATTCGTCCAGGCCATCAAAGAGAGGAAGCTGTTCCCATTCTTCGACATGGCGTACCAGGGCTTTGCCACCGGTGACGTCGACAACGACGCCTACGCCCTACGTTACTTCGTGCAGGAGGGCCACCAAGTTATGCTTGCACAGAGCTTCGCCAAGAATATGGGTGAGTTACATTATATTAGGATTTTATTTTTAACGTAATGGGGATTAATGAACTTTTTAGTTCATTATTCCCCATTATAAGTTTTATAAGCTCCAATTGGCGTTAACGGGGATTAGTGAACAAAAAGTTCACTATTCCCCGTTGACGGGGATTGTCAACGGGGAATAGTGGAATAAGCTGAAGCACGGTAACCGAACGGTGAAGGGTTCGGACTGGCCGACTCGTGATCCAGGGAACTTTCGGTCCCCGCCGCCGCTCGACTATTGTGGTGAGCTCACTCGTGACACAAGCATAATAATTTATTTTTATTTTATTTGATTTATATGGTTCACCAACAGTTAATTACACCAATACAATTGTATAAATCTTAAGAAGAATAGGTACATGTTCAATGTATTAACTTATTACAGGCAAATAATATTTAGCTTAGTACGAAGGGCTAACGAGACTATTAGTAATTTGTGCAATAACAAGTTACTGATAATCTTTAAAAAAAAATATTTAAACCTGTACATAAACTTACGACGATTCCCAGTTGCCCCCTCATCGCCTTCTCAAGAGGCTACTGGGAATTTGTAAAAAAATGTCTCAGTTGCCCCCTACCTCTCCCTTTGAAGGTAGCAACAAGGAATTTTTATCTGTGTTGACGACTGTTTATTGCTCTAAGATAGAAAAGTTATTATTAGTACATTTTTATCTTGAAAATGCATTAATAAACACAGTATGACTGAAGTTAACAAAACAAGATACATAATATAAATTATCTGCAGCAAATATTGCACTGTCAATGAATTATGAAAACTAATGACATTAAAAGGACAAGGCTGACAACTGGGTCATGCAATTTAGTTAAATCTTGCTTTTTATTCTTAGGTATGGTTGCGCTTTTGAGTATAGCAAATATTAATAAAAGTATGATTCAACCTTTGTGCAGTTGTTTGATAGTTGACTTATTTTTATCTTATCTGTCCCGTGTTTATTTATTATCTTTGCATTGGTTCGATCAATTTCATTGAAAGGTTACAAAGGTCGATGGAGGAGGGGCTCTCCCCTACTTTTTATGTGCAAAATTATAAAATATTTACGCCGGACGGAGATAAGTTTTGTATTTGAAATACCTATTAATATATTAATCATCTATATATATAAAAGAAAGTCGTGTTAGTTACTTCGCTTATAACTCAAGAGCGGCTGAACCGATTTAGCTGAAAATTGTCAGGGAGGTAGTTTAGAGCCAGGAGAAGGACATAGGATACTTTTTATCCCGTTCGAAATTAAAAAAAAGTCTGCTTATTTATTGCCATTAAGGCGGAACAAAGTTCGCCGGGTCAGCTCATTTCTACTAAATTAGCATCTTATCAACAACAGCATAATATTATCGTGTCGCTATGAGAAGTTTTCTTTAAATATACCCTGTTATCTTATCAATTATTAAAAAAATGCAAGAAATACACAAAAACAAAATCAGCGGAAACTTACTCCATTTCATGACAAAGAAGGTCAAATGACTTGACCTAAACCTTATCTTGTGTTTTTTCGTTTTACGTCATCATAAATAAAGTACCTACCTAAATATTTTGTTGAAGAGAAAATATATTTTTCAATAATATTAAACGGTTAGTAAACACTACGTTACGATAAATTAATTTTGCACCTGAATAAAAGAGCGGCCTTGAAGAGCTGGATGCCGACATTTTCCATATGGTTTCTATGTAATGAATTTAGTAGTCAGTTGATGTTAGTAAGAAAACCATGAAATTAATTAGCTACGAATCGAAATTAATTTCATGGTTTTCTTAATATCCGATTCTTAACCCATTGCTGAAAAGAGAAAAATATTTTACCCAATATACAGGGTGTTAGGTAAATGGGTATATGAGCCGACACTAACCTATGTTAACATGGTCATATAAATGGTATGGTGAAGACAGAAAATTGATATCTTCATTTTAATTATTTTAATTTTCATACAAATCGGATTTTATAAAATTTATTTTGTATGATAATTAAAAAAAATAAAATGATGATGTCAAATTTCTGACTTCACCATACCATTTATATGCCCATGTTAACATGGGCTAGTGTCGGCTCATATACCCATTTACCTAACACCCTGTATATTACCCAATGTTATTTCACTTAACTTCAAAATATGGTTGAATCAATGAGGGTTTTCGCGATTGAAAAATCCGCCAGATGGCAATACGCAGACGCGAGGTCCAAAATATGCTGCATGATTGGTTATTTTTGACATGACATTGACAGACATGTCAAAATCCACCAATCACGCAGCATTTGGACCTCGCATCTACGTATTGCCATCTGGCGGATTTTTCAATCGCGAAAACCCTCATTCTGCTACCACTAGGGTTTCTGATTTCTCGACTTATTTTTTTTCTCGAGTTTCGGGAATTCTCGAGGCCAAAGTCTCGAGTTTTCTCGGGTCTCGAGTCTTTTAATTAAAACTGTTGAAATTGGTTGAAATTTAATAAAAACACGGGTTTTTATTTATGTTATAATGTGTCTGGGTTATAATCAATAATACTGTAAAGTTTCAACAAAATCCGTTCAGTAGTTTTTGCGTGAAAGAGTAACAAACATCCAGACATCCACAAAAACTTTCGCATTTATAATATTAGTAGAATAATTATAACTTAGTAATTAACTAAAGGAACAAAAGTCATAAAGTCGCGTGTACTTTAAGGATTAATAACCATAAATATCTGGAGCTCCAATTGAATCACTTGTTGTCCAAAGAACACAAGTCCAAATTAATTGAAAAATTACGATAATAAACCTACATTTATAAACAAAAAAAAAACTTTTAAATAAATTTTTAAACTTAAAGATAACGACTTGAATAAACGTATTTACGAGTACCTAAACTAACAGACAGTTAACAAAAAAGTTTCAGTCTTTAAATCAGTCAGTTATACAAACATAATAAAATCGCATCGTAGGTGAACATTATTAGTTTCGGTTAAGATCATTACTTGCAAATCAAATTAGTTAAAAAAAGGAAAGACTAGGCCAGTCTAAACGCAACGTTAACCTATTAAAAGATTAAAAGAATAAGTGTTAAACGTAAAAACATTAGCGCTAATAACAATATACAACTTGAAACACATGATAATTTATTGATACAATGCCCCCACGGCGTCGCCAACACCTTCAATAACTACTTCGCCTCAGTAGGCCAGCAACCACCGTCTCAAAGCACAAACTGCCCCCCAGCCCCTCGCGGTCACCCTGTCGTATCACCTACCACCAATTCCATGTTCCTACAACCTGTAACTGAAAAAGAAATCTTTAACATAATCCGAAAAATCCCTAACAAACGAAGCTGTGGAGTTGATAACATCCCCCCTACATTGCTGAAAGCATGTGCCCACGAACTGACCCCCCCGCTCACCATGCTCATTAATCAGTCATTTTCAGAGGGAATTTTCCCCACTAGGCTTAAAACGGCTATAGTTAAACCTATTCTTAAAAAAGGCGGTAAACCTAAAGACCCTGGCCAGTATAGACCGATCGCAATCCNTAAATAAATAATTAAAAACTTACTTTTGTCTAAGAAAATAGGCTTTCAAGAATATTAAAGCTTCAAAATCGAAACTCGAGAATTCTCGAGCTCCGGTAATTTTTTTCTCGTCTCGAATGAAGCCAAATTTCTCGAGTTTTCTCGAGTTCGAGAAAGCTCGAGCAGAAACCCTAGCTACCACCATCTTGTATTGACGTATATTCTCCCACAGGATTATACGGCGAGCGCGCGGGTGCCCTGACCTTCCTCTGCGGTGACGCCGAGTCGGCCGCCAAGGTCATGTCGCAGGTCAAGATCATGGTGCGCACCATGTACTCCAACCCGCCGTTGTACGGATCCCGCATCGTGCAGGAGATCCTCGGCAACCCGGAGCTGAAGAAACAATGGTGAGTGGGGAATGCAGAGTGCAAACGATTTTGAACTTTAAGATAAAGAAATTATAAACGATTTTGACTCTTATGACAGTCACTGGCTCTTGTTTAAAATCATTGTTTATTATGACAGTAAGGCTGTTGCACCACCTTACTTTGACGATAACTATAACGATAACCGGCGTGTTTTGTATGGAGTTTGACAGATTTTTAACGTTCGTCAAAGTAAGATGGTGCAACCCAGCCTTAGACCGAGTTGCACCACCTTATTTTAACCGCAACATTAATCGGTGCTTTTTGTATGGAGTTTGACAGATTTTGGACGTTTGACAAATTTAAAGTAAGATGGTGCAACTCATCCTAATTATGGCAATAATTTTAACTGCCATGTTAACTTAAAGGTATTCGTCAATATTTCTTCTAGCTTTATCATTCATAGTTTTAACGTATGTAGGTAAGCTGATTATTTTTAGTGTATACCTGTACGTATTAGAATGATAGTAGAATATCGATAGCACTAATAACACCTTAATTATGTATACCTTTTGATAAGTTTTAGCTCGCTCTCTATGTATAATTTCGGTAATCTAAAAATCAATAACGGGGACTGAAACGTCTCTTATCACTCATGAAGCTTTCATTGTATTTGATAGATTATGTACTTTTTTTATCAATTTGTTAAGTGAAAGCCAGTTGGTTACAAACTGATTGTACTATGACGCCAATTCATCAAGCCAATACCTATTGAAACATCTTGTTGCTAATGTCAACGTCATTATTATCAGCCGGAGGACGTGCATTGTTGAACATAGGTCTCCCTAATGCTGGATTTCTATAGTCCGGTCGCGGAGCACGTAGAATTTCGTCCAATGACCCCAAGCTACCCTACGAAATTCTACGTGCCCGGCGACCGGCTTTATATTCAATCCTAATCTAAATTCGTCCGTGTCAAATTTCATTATTTTTTTGGTCAAAATATCTGCGTTTTTCGATGTTTTTACATTTTCATATAGTTTATAAGACTATTTAAACAACATTAAAGTGTAAAAACATCGAAAATTGTGAATATTTAATCTAAAACTGAATTAAATTTGACAGTTAAAATCCGGATTGGGTCAAGGATTGATTATGGGAAACGGGCGTAAGTTAGTCTGCATTCGCAAATAACGTAGAAACCAATTAGATAGCTTATTACTATTTGAATGACTTACCACAACTCCACCATTACAGGCTCGCGGACGTCAAGCAAATGGCGGACCGTATCATCTCGATGCGCAACCAGCTGCGCGCCGGCATCGAAGGCGCCGGCAACAAGCAGCCGTGGAGCCACATCACCGACCAGATCGGCATGTTCTGCTTCACCGGACTCAAGCCTGAACAGGTTCGTTCATTCATTTCAGCCAAATAACTTCCACTGCTGGATAAAAGCGTTCCCTAAAGATTTGGACAAAGGATGGATTTCCACAACGACCGGTCCTGCGCTGGCTGCATCCAGGTGCTTCCTGCGACTTCACTTATACTAACCAGTGGTTGCCACTCGAGAACTTACTCAGAGTCGAGTTGAGCAGGCTTGGATCTGCTCTTGTGGACACGATGGGCATGCATGCAGACATGCTAAAGTTATATGACACTTTTGCGGTGAATGTGCTACTGACTGGATATTCCCACAACGTTTTTAGAGCTGAATCCGCGTCTGCCAACTATAAGCGATTCGATTCGATATCGTGGCATTATAGTAGGAGGCTCGAGCTATCTTTGTGCTATGGAGATCATCTCCGAATTTTGCAATGCCGGATTAGAATTGTTTCGAAAGCTAATCGTAGAATAGATTCAATTTCAAAATTTTTATTATTTGTGCAATATGTATATAGATTATTTGAAACGGGTCATGCGTATGACAACATTTCTTTTTTCATGACCTATTTAATATTTGGTGCTTTACTAACTGGACCACGTTTCCAGGTGGAGAGGCTGACCAAAGACTTCCACATCTACCTGACCAAGGACGGGCGCATCTCCGTAGCCGGCATCTCGTCAAAGAACGTCAACTACGTCGCCGAGGCCATGCACAAGGTCACGTCCTAAGCACCGCTAGTGTAAGCCACGCTATTCCACGAGATTACGTACCTACAGAGCACAGTATTTATTGTAATGTTCGAACATTTCTGAACAAATGTACAAATACATTTGGAGTATTTATAAAAATCGTTTTATGACAATTTTATCTTGAGCTAAAATGTGATTTTACTTTCGTAATACAATCATGTCATTTATTAGCGTTAAATATATACAGTTGATTTTTGAAATGCCATTTTTATTTTAATGCCACGACAAATTAATCTACGAATCCTTGTAATTTAATTTAGAAGTTATTAAAGAGAAAGAGAGTTATGATTNCCTCAATGTATGAGCTATTCAACACAAAAATAATGATTTCAATCAAACTAGTAATTCTTAAGATTAGCGCGTTCAAACAAACAAACAAAAAACTCTTCAGCGTTTTAATCTGAACTTGTTGTTGTTGATTTTTGGCGTCGAACCTTAGACCAGGCATACGGCTAGGCAACGTAGTCATGCAGGAGGATACAAGGAAGAGGGGCAGCCACAGTATGTAACACAGAGTCGTTCAGGTGAGTGCCAGGAAGAGGTGCAGCAACCGCAGTTAAGGAACGGCTGGGACGAACAAGGATAGGAGCATCAAGCTCGTAAGCCTTGATAGGGTTACACTAGTTGAGGTGGCCCTTTCCAAGACTTGGAAGCCTGTGGGTAACAAACCATTGGACGTGAAGAGGGTCATTAATTATACGTATATTTTCTACTTTGCCGAACTTTAGCGCGAGAACGGTTTGTCCAAAACATATGAATTTGGTCTTATTCAATGCAGGATTAAGTGCCCTTCAACCGTCATAAAGACCACTTTTTGATAGGGATAAGTCCTTTACGCGGTATAACCTGAAAACCGAAAAAATGCCCCTTTCGGGGGCCCCCACCACTTAAGCACAACTCCGTCGAAGTCGAAAACTTAGGAGAATTTTAATGGGCAACCAATGAAGCCATTAAAACAAAATCTTTTGTAGGAATTATTTCCGATTTAAAAGCTAATTCTACTGGACTAACAGTCCGGTCGCCGAGTAGAATTTCGTCCAATGACCCCAAGCTACCCATCCTTATCGCTCGCGCGTAATTATATTGCTGTCGCGACTGTGTGACGGGCGGCCGCAGTGAGTGTGCGAGCGCGACAGCGACATAATTACGCGCTTTATATTTAATCCTAATCCAAATTCGTCCGTGTCAAATTTCATTATTTTTTTGGTCAAAATATCTGCGTTTTTCGATGTTTTTACATTTTCATATTGTTTATAAGGTTATTTAAACAACATTAAAGTGTAAAAACATCGAAAATTGTGAATATTTAATCTAAAACTAAATTTAATTTGACAGTAAAAAATCCGGATTTGGACAAGGATTGATTATGGGAAACGGGTGTAAGTTAGTCTGCATTCGCAAATAATTAGATAGCTTATTACTATTTGAATGAACCTGTACCATAATTCCACCATTACAGGCTCGCCGACGTGAAGCAAATGGCGGACCGTATCATCTCGATGCGCAACCAGCTGCGCGCCGGCATCGAAGGCGCCGGCAACAAGCAGCCGTGGAGCCACATCACCGACCAGATCGGCATGTTCTGCTTCACCGGACTCAAGCCTGAACAGGTAGTCATAGAGAGAGTGTTGAGTTTGAAATTCAGTGTCGCATTAGAAACGTTTTACAGAGCGAAGTAAGTCCTTAAAAAATGCTAGAGCGAAGAGGCCTTTCGAAGTACAAAATGTCATGTTTTGCCACTTGGGCAGAGGGGTAGCCCTACTAGTAGATGTACCTACTATTTGTGGGCACAATTGACATGCCCAGGAGGGCTGGATCTCTTGCCTAAATACATTATTGTTTATTGTGATTCGTGGGATTATAGGAGGAGGGAGGAGATATCTTTGTGATGTGACATATCCAAGTGGAAAAATGTACTTTTGTTTCGAATTCGATTGAAAGCAAAGTGACACCACGGTAATAATATAGATGACCCACGCTGAACTGTCCCACCAAACTCAATGACAGGGGGGCGCTACCATCGTTCAACTATATGCTTTCCAACATAGCAAAAATCGGAACCAGCGATCCGGTATTGACGGTGGCGCCCCACTGTTAATGTCATGCATAGGACAGTTCAGTATTTTGGAAGTATATCAGCGGGGATGACGAATTCTACTTATTTTGGGCTAACCGTCGAATAGATTCAATTTCACTTCTGTGGTGTACATAACATCGATACATCTATAGATATGGATCTATCTATTCAAATAATTTATTGGCATAGCTTAACCCGTAAAGATTAATAAGTTAATAACCCTTCTTCTGGCGCAGTCGGGAAAAAAACCCAAATTCATTCGTGATTCCAGAATAAAATTAAATGTTTAGTGCTTTACACTGGGGCTACTGTTTCAGGTGGAGAGGCTGACCAAAGACTTCCACATCTACCTGACGAAAGACGGCCGCATCTCCGTGGCCGGTATATCCTCAAAGAACGTCAACTACGTCGCCGAGGCCATGCACAAGGTCACGTCCTAAGCACCGCTAGTGTAAGCCACGCTATTCCACGAGATTACGTACCTACAGAGCACAGTATTTAATGTAATGTTCGAACATTTCTGAACAAATGTACAAATACATTTGGAGTATTTATAAAAATCGTTTTATGACAATTTTATCTTGAGCTAAAATGTGATTTTACTTTCGTAATACAATCATGTCATTTATTAGCGTTAAATATATACAGTTGATTTTTGAAATGCCATTTTTATTTTAATGCCACGACAAATTAATCTACGAATCCTTGTAATTTAATTTAGAAGTTATTAAAGAGAAAGAGTTATGATTAAACTTTTTATTGTTAAAATAAGTAGATAAAATAAACTTGATGCCAAAAACACAGAAATTGTATTAACATGTTTGCAGTGATTCTACGACTGAACTATTTCTACGCAAAATATTTACAGCTGACAAACAAATTAACTTCTTATTCTACTTAAAAACTGATGCAGGTCAATCGTTAACATTGCCTTAAAAATTTAAACAATAATTTTATACATTATACAAGAGTACATAAAAATCCTTTTAGGATATATTGCTTACAATTAATGGGAACACATTTCATCCACAATCCGATTGCATCGTGGTAACAATCTTTAACATATTCACCTGCATCAACATCAAAAATCGATGTAAACCTATAAACGTTTCACTATGCTAATAACTCAGTTTATTGTAGGATACACATCCAAAAATGCGCGTTTCATACAATTTAATTTTATTATGTTACAAAATATACTAATACATTCTATAGGTCGACAGGTGTCAATGATATTTCAATAAAAATAGTAATAATTATATGTACAAATTCTCATAGAACAAACTACATGGCACTATTTCTTTAGAATGCAATACCATTCCCTTTAAAGCAAGAAATATGTACCATTTTACACACACTCTTTAGTCCCCAACAAACCAGACGCGTTCAAACCGTTCTGTACCTTTACTTTGAAGATAATTCTTGGAGGGATCTTGAATGACAATGCGACTAAATTTTCAGTCTAATACTAATTACGGATTTATTAATGAGATTTTAGATACATAATGTTAATAGCTGGCCATATAGTTATTTTGAGGGTTACACCTATTTGGAAATACTACACTGATTCTCAAAACTCGCAAGTAGAATGCTGCTTAGATTTTGTATGGACATAGATTCTGATTGATAAGTCAATAAAATGTATATTGTGTCGACGCGGGCAAAGGGTTATTTAATATTGTGCAGTATTTACCATCTTTTTTGCGGTTTGTCAAAATACGAATAGTAGGGGTATTAGGTAATGTAATATCAAATTGGATTCTCATTAGCATGCCCCTAAATGGACACGTTTAAAACATGTATTGCACAAAGAGTTGAAAGACACCACCCAAACAGTAACAGGCACCACTTATTACGATTTCCGAAGAAGGATCTTAAAATATTCACAACCGTTTTGGTCAAGATTTCGGTGCTCTTTCACGTTTGAGTGGTGTAGTTTGAGACCAAAGTGTAAGGAATCGACAGCACATCAGACAATGAATGTTTGTTGTAAAGTAGCTTTTATTACAATGACATAAGTTCTTTCAGAATTTAGCTTGATATGCTGTCGCCTGGATACTGTCCGGTCTTAAGTGAGCCTGCATATAGCCGTTATAAGCATAAACTACACTTAGTGATGTATGTGTCTTACAGAAGAATACAACTTATTTGGCTTTCTTTTCAGAATCGAGTCACAGCGAACTGTTATACTGAATTACGAAATTATTATCAAAGGACTGATATTTTGCACTCATCTAGTGCCTTAGAAAAAAAAATACATACTGGTCTAAACGAAAACACCAGAAAACTTATGAATTAGAATGCCATATATGCCTTGCTATAATTACTATGTGTAAATAAATAAGTTTATATATATTGTATATTTGTATAAGTAGACATAATATAAATATATAATTAGACTAATATATGCAGCTATTCTCAATCTACATAAAAATATTACATATAAATCTGCGAGCAGCCTTGTACTGACATTTTATTGCATCATTATTTACTAATAATAACACAAAGTAATAACTAAAACAAACTTATAATTACAACAACTATAGAGATAACACTAGAGCCGACTTTTCAATCGCTAGTTAACTTTTAACTGAAGAATCTTGAACCTTTGACCGGTTTGTATTTCTTATACAGTCAAAGTTATCTATGCTAGAAGCTATCTGGCGATTGAAAGTCAGCCTCAAATGTAATTTAATTGTGCGTTACAAAAACATTTTGTATATAAGTAATCGTTTTATACATATAACTAACTTATAAATGACATGTCTACGTCACACAACGTAGCGACATAATAATACATTGCCAGCCTGAGTGGGTTTGCATTTTTTATTCTAAATTATTACTTGAACTTAAATTATTCTGAAACAATATTATATGAATTGCAATTCTTGAATGAAGTCGCGCAAATTGTAGTAACATTAAACAATAGTCATGAAACAGAAAAACGAATTCGTGTACTTGCAACATTCATCTACAATGATTTTGTCAAAACTTTGAGTCAATTATAGCCTGACCAGGAACATAAAAACCCNGACTATAGTGATGTATGTGTCTTACAAAAGAATACAAGTTATTTGGCTTTCTTTTCAGAATCGAGTCACAGCGAACTGTTATACTGAACTACGAAATTATTATCAAAGGACTGATATTTTGCACTCATCTAGTGCCTTAGAAAAAAAAATACATACTGGTCTAAACGAAAACATCAGAAAACTTATGAATTAGAATGCCATATATGCCTTGCTATAATTACTATGTGTAAATAAATAAGTTTATATATATTGTATATTTGTATAAGTAGACATAATATAAATATATAATTAGACTAATATATGCAGCTATTCTCAATCTACATAAAAATATTATATATAAATCTGCGAGCAGCCTTGTACTGACATTTTATTGCATCATTATTTACTAATAATAACACAAAGTAATAACTAAAACAAACTTATAATTACAACAACTATAGAGATAACACTAGAGCCGACTTTTCAATCGCTAGTTAACTTTTAACTGAAGAATCTTGAACCTTTGACCGATTTGTGTTTCCTATACAGTCAGTTATCTTTGCTAGAAGCTATCTGGCGATTGAAAGTCAGCCTCAAATGTAATTTAATTGTGCGTTACAAAAACATTTTGTATAAGTAATCGTTTTATACATAATTATAACTAACTTATAAATGACATGTCTACGTCACACAACGTAGCGACATAATAATACATTGCCAGCCTGAGTGGGTTTGCATTTTTTATTCTAAATTATTACTTGAACTTAAATTATTCTGAAACAATATTATATGAATTGCAATTCTTGAATGAAGTCGCGCAAATTGTAGTAACTGTAGTAACATTAAACAATAGTCATCAAACAGAAAAACGAATTCGTGTACTTGCAACATTCATCTACAATGATTTTGTCAAAACTTTGAGTCAATTAATTCATTTTTATGCATAGGATGTAACTTGAACAAGACGGAACGGCGATCTTCACTTTAAGGAGAATTCTGTTCTTATTGAACATTATCTATACTAATATTATAAATGCGAAAGTATCTCTGTCTGACTTGCTTTCACGCCTAAACCATTGAACTGATTTTGATGAAATTTGGCATAGAGACAGTTTGAGTCTTTGAGAGTTTGGAAAGGACATAGGATAGTTTTTATACCGGTTTTTGAAACAGGGACGCGCGCGATAAAGTTTTTCTGTGACAGACAAAATTCCACGCGGGCGAAGCCGCGGGCGGAAAGCTAGTTCATCATAAAGGTAAGTGAGTGTCCTAAAACCACAATAGTTTCAAATTTAAATAATGGTTACGCATGAGTACTATTAAATTTAAAGCACACTCACACAAAAAATGGTCCTTCGAAGTGAAGACCGCTGCATCGTTAAGTAGAAAACATAAACTACTGAAGTATCATAACAAACTCTTAACGTGAGTAATAATGGTAGTACAGAAGGAAGGATTAATTAAACTACTACGTATTAGTATAATTCACTATTAACGTTAGGACAGGCGCACGCGCACTGGTGAATTTAATGACAAGGAATGAGTTCATTGACATTATCTAGATCTTGTGGAGGAAACTGTAATGAAGTAACTTTGTACAGCTGAAAACTTGCACGAATGTGTAGAAAATAATTTCATGTTCGTGTTTTTTTAAGGCAGGTATTTGACTGCAATCGCACCTGATGTGTTAGTGAGATGCTGTCCAGGATGTAGATGTACCATACATATCTGTCGTGTGAGTGCTTATTTTATTCACTCTCGCCTTGAAAAGGCTCGAAATATCTACATTGTGGCCGTCGCAAATGCTGTCATGTCATAACCAACAACTTGACTGCAAATAAAAGCTGACCAATGTAAGCTTAGGCCAGAGGACTGACGAACCCAGCGTTTCTTGTTTGAACTTGCATCTGAAAAATTACCAGTGCGCGGAATACTTTATTTTGAGCGATTTCACAAGACGCTGGCAGCGGTACCATATGCGACAAGTATAAATTTGGCATCGCCATGTGTGCTAAGACGGCTTCATGACAGTTCTACCGAACCCGTTACGGCGTCATGTGGAATAAGCATTTACATTTTTACAGGCAAAGACTTCTATGTACCCTTAGACACGCTGTCCTGTGCGGGATATTGTATCAATAAGTTTGTGATTACAATCATCATCTCATGTCGACTGAGACTAGCAGATGTGTCGCGAGTTCCTCAAGGTTTCAGTCACTAAACAAACGTTATCATTTACGTGTGAATTATTGAACAGCTGTCTAGTTACTAAGAAGTCTATGATTATAGGACGGAGGATGGAAATAACAAATTGGGACTGAAACAGACCATGTTGATGCACTATAGGGACAGTTTTTCACTGGTTTAGGTCGTCAATAAGTAGGCGGTGCGCCTACTGAGATAGGTTCTGCGTGGAACAAAGGTTACAATAGTTACTAACACTTATCCGAGTGACTATGAAGAGAGAAAAAGCTATCCTACTTAATTTTTCTTACAAACTTTTCATAGTATAATAACAATTAGCAGGTTAGGTCAAGATGAACAAACAAACAAACTGAAACAATTACTTATGAGTGAAGGTTATGTTGCCATTTGAAATTACAATTAACATAGAAAACAAGTAAATATTTATGTAATCTGAAAAAATGATTCTATAAATTAAGTGTCATATTGGAGATAGCTATTTAACTGTAGTATATTTTTTTGGAAAAATAATTAAATGTGCATTAACATCTTATTAAAAGTTAATTATAATTTCCAACTGGAGCATTTGAATTACATAACTGTGTAAAACAAAACATAGGTTAATTTATTGGCAAGAAATCGAAACATTATAATTAAAAATGTATAGAATGATGAATTACTAAAAATATAATGCATTGAATTAGAAATCGTAGACATAAAGTTTCAACTCTTGTTATTTTGATTTTGCTGACTGGACTGAATTGACAGAATGCAGGAAACACCACCAGCAGCAAGGTTATTAAAATTATGTAATAAATAAATATCTGAACCGAATCAGCACTAAAGTAATATCAAATTACTCCAAGCCTCTATTTACGCATTGAAAATACATCACTCAGTAGAAACACTCAAAAATTACAATCGAACAGACCAAAACAAAACCGGAGATTACCATCGTCAGTTCACTTCACATTATATGTCCCGTCTTAACCACTATTACATTTTAAAGAAACGTTAACCACTTTAAATCTAAGTATATTGCTCATTTGCTTAAAGGCATAGTTTCACTTACAGTTTGTGAGTCGGTGGAGTTGGCGGAGTCCTCGCCTAACAGGCGGCAGAGCTGGTCGTCGAGCGCGCGGCGCCGCTTGTCCTCGCAGAACACGTCGTCGCCTGCCAGCATACCCTCGTCCAGGTACGCGAAAGAATCCAGGTTGATGTCCGAAGAGCTGATCGCCGTGCTGTAGATGTCTATCCGCTTCTGCTGCGACTTCGCCTCCGCTACCTTCTCCGATAACTTCTCTTTAGCCTTCGTCAGCGCGTCGCACTCCGACCGGTCGACCTTTGCGTCCGAGTCCTTCGACTTCGCAGCCGCCTTCGCCTTGAGCGCGAACGACGAATCGTTGCTCGACGACCCGTCGTCCTGTAACTGGCTCAGCAGAGTCCGCGTCGCCAGCGTCAGACCCGACGCAGAACCGTACATCTCGTTGGACTCCCCTAAAACAGCAATGGTTCAGATTAATAACGGCCCAATTGAACGCAAAGTAATGAGGTCCGTATTGAATGCCTTACCGCTGACCGTGGCCCGCTGTATGCTGTCCTGCGACGAGTGCTTGCTCTTTGACTTGTGTCTGTCCACCATGTACTCGTTTTCACTGTCACTCGACATACCGAGATCCAAATGCAAGGAGTTCAGCTTGTCGTCGTCATCCTTCCCCTTTCGTGATACCCCATCCAGCTCCATTTCCCAATCTGTGACACTCGAGGAGTCTTTACCCTCCACATCTTTACCGAATGATTTCTCTACCTCCTTTTCTAAGGAAGGTATGCTCGAATCCTCCATGGGTTCGATTCCTCCTATACTCTCGGCGGTGGAGTCTAAGCTGTTGGGATTGCAACTTTCGTCAGTGATTTGGGTTTCGAATAGTACAGGAGTGTCTTGGGTGATCTCCGTCACTTTAGTGCTGTCCTCGGGCACGCGGGCGGCGGTGCTCACCCTGCTATCCAATATTTCGGACATGGTCGTCGGACGACCGGACTGTTCGTTATTGAGTTCAAGCACTATTACGTTCCCCGCACATTTCGCCGCATCCACTTGGTCCGACTTAGACGCTTGGAGGAGCTGATTCACGTTCTTACCCATTATTATTTTGGACATGTCGTTCCCGTTTTTCGAAAAAGTCAACGCTTTTCCAATAGGCGTTCCTTTTTGAACGACGATGACGTTGCCCTTGGTGTTCGCCTGGCGAACGATCGGATTCGTGATTTTGGGGGTTGTTACGGGAGCGAGACCCTTGACGGGGACGATGTCGGCTAAGTTAGCCGTTTTTATCGGTTCCACGCCGACGATTTTTGCATTTGAAGGAATCGAACTGACTACTGTAGGTTTTGAAACCACGGTGACCGTCGGCGTCCTAGATACTTGGGTTGCGGGCTGCGAACTGACCGGCACCAACTTCATGGCTCCCGATAGACCTTTGAAATGTAATAAGGGAAGTTGTCCTTCGGTAACCGTTTTCGTTCGAGCTTTCGCCGGCAACACGACCATTTTTTGGCCTGATTTTGGGTTCAAAACGACAGTTTTAGCTGAAACTTTCAAATCAGTGGCGGGAATACCCTTCGGGGTGAATGTTTCCGTGGTTATAGGTGATATGCTATTTGTACTAACCGGAACGTCTCTACTCGGTGTGCTCGCGCCCGACGTGATAATGATTTTAGAACTGGGCATGCCCTTCATTTCCGACGGTTTGGATACCACAATCATTTTTTCCGTTAAAACCGGGGTGCCCGAAGTTCGAGGTTTGGCTATCGAACTGATAACTTTAGTGGTGATGAGTTTCCCAGGCGTGTTTAGTGCTTTTTGAGCCGAACTCGGCGCAATAACTACTTGTCGGTTTTGGAGTACTTTGATGCCGCTATCGCTGGATTTCTGTAATATTTTAAGTTCGGACATTTGTACTTTTTTGTCGGGAGTGATTTCGCCTCTCTTCTTGATGATGAGGTGGCAGGGTTTGTTGCTTATCGAGTGTTTAGTGGAGGGGGTTCCCTGAGCCTGGAGCATGGTCGCGTCATCGGGGTGGATGTTGTCTGAGACGCCGAGCTCGTGAGGGACAGTGGCTGGTTGGGTTAGGAGCTGCATTGTAGGGGAATCTGTCACCATGCCGGGCGAGGAGAGCACTTTAGGTTTAAGTTCATCCATATAATCAGGTTTCTTGCCAAGTACCGACTGAGCATAGCTAGCCTGGAACGTGTTGGGAGGGCCAGAATACTCAAGCTGCATAGATGTAGGGTTGTATTGCTTTCCCGGAGACAAAGGCATTTCTTGTGATTTTTTCATTTGAGATTTAGACATAGCAGCTTGGGCACTTTTGGCGCTTTGTTTATGTGATCTGTGTTTGTGTGACCTCGGTTGATGGGGTTGACTGGATTTGCTAGTTGACACTTTGCTCACTTGGTTATATGAATGCTTTGACTGCCCTGATGATTTACCTGCACAAAAAATATTGACACTTAAACTTTTTTTTGCAAAGACAGTCATTTCCAATTGGTCAAAATGATTCAGATCTTATTGGTCAAAATAGTAATAAGACTTCAAATGTGAATTTTTTAGGAATAATAAAACAGTGTTAGTTGTAGTCACCACAAAGTTTTTTGTTAAAAATATCAATGTAATACAGCCAAAGATAATAATAGACATACTTGATGCTGGTTGTGAGAACTTGGAGTATATCTGTGACAAATTGAGATGTTTCTGGTTGGTGTTCACAGGAATATTTCTCATATTTTTCACCGGAGTAGAGGTATCATCTGGTAATGTACCACTTTCTGGGTTTTTTCTTTTGCGGCTCATCAGTTCCGTTTCCCATATCTGAAACAGAAGAACAATTAAAATGTAGCATTTCTATCAGAATTTTTAAATATTTCATGATTTATAATATTTAACATTATTTAGGTTGCAGAAAATAAATTTATACGGACTTTGCTGGTCTGATCTTCCATGGCAACGGGATATGTCATTTCATCAGCGGTGTCATTTGACGAAAGTGTTCCCTCGGCAGTTTCTCCTTCAGCTTCTGGCATTTCCTCTTCATTGGATATAGGTGTAACCATTTTCTCCGCCTCGAGCTTTTTAGAGAGCTCTTTATTCTCCGCAGCCGCTGCTTCGGCAGCTCTATCCGCAATCTCGGTGTACATAGTCTGAGCGATGCCTCGAGGCAGGAGCGGTACTCTCCTTCGACCTTCGCTTATCCATGCTAGCCCTGTGTTAGGACCTGATAGTCTGAAAATAAAATATTGATTTTTTTTTGACGTAAATCGTATTGTTACAATCACTATTATTAATATTATTGGTTTTTGGGCCTTTATTTGCGCCAACTCGACCAGGTTTGATCTATTGTGGCAGCCCTTGTCTTTAGAGTTCACTGCTTAGTCCCGTTGAGTCTATGAGTACAATCACTAATAAGACTTGCTAATTAGAAACCAATAGTAATAGATATTTCTCACAGAACTATAAGACTGATTATTTAACTTAATGAACACCAGAAATTATAGGTACCAAATTTAAAAAAAAATCACAATGATCATAAGACTAAAAATTGGTGAGGTCATTATAATAATATTATTATAGTATGATAAAAAATCTTCCTCAAAATTCTCAATATGCACATTATCATAGAAAAAAAGAATCTGTCACATATTAGGTTATCTGTCAAATAATAAATACTTTTAAAACATTTACATTAAAAATTATGTGGAATCATTAAAATTTTATGCACTCAACACACTGACACTACATATCATGATGTAGAACCACACATCCATGTGGCTATGATATTTGGTGCTAATTACAATGCACAACAAAAATGCAACTTAAAATGTCAAACTTCAACTCAATCTTTTAGAAATATAACAGAAATAACCTGCTCTAAAAGCTTTCACCCAAGCTAAGTACTACAATACCTTTGACTTTCAAACACTCACAGCCATCTTTGACTTAGTACAACAGTGTATAAAAATAAATCAAATGTTCACTAGAATTGGTCTATTTCAACTTACTGCTCTGCAATTGTGGCTAATAATTCGTCATTAGACACGCGGCGTGCCTCAGCACTGTGCCGATCGTTGCTTATATGCAAAACGGCGCGTAGATCTTCCAGTAACTTTTTTCTGTTGTCTTCCAATGCCCCCTGTGCTCTGAACACACTGATCATATTCGAGTAGGCTTCCAATTCTAAAAACAAAACATATAATTCTTGGTTAGTTACTAATTTATAAACCAATTTAACAGCTAAACTTATTGTAAGGAAAGGGTACAATTGAAGAAAATTATAGGAGGGAAAATGAATGCCATTTCTAAGACTAAATTTATACCAAGTCTACGGAGCGTACGGCGACATTCGTCGCGAGTCATGGTCAAGAGCATGGGCCACATTTTTATGCGTTTTTATTTAACATTGACAAAACACCATTTAATTATATTATTTTAACCATATTTTATAAAATCTGAATTGGCAAATATCCATACTGTTTACTTCAAACGACAATTCGTTCATTTTTGACACTTCAAAAAATTGAGACGGCTTTAGTTTTGTCTATGATAAAAATGATACCAGCTTTAACTTCGAAACTCCCCGTATATCGTAAATAATGGTCACCAAATGGAAGAAATTGTTAACAACATTTAAATGTAAATATGTAATGAAAATGACGACTACCATGAATACCTTTTGTATGTTTGTAGAGAAATCTTTTTACCAGATTAGTTTGAAATAAAATAATTTTTTAACGTGAATTCATGAAAAAATTCTTAAATTAATAATAATAATACTATGTATTGACACACTAAAAGTCGCTTAGTTCGGATTCATTTCTTCGGATAAAATCCGGATAGGCTATGTTGAACTTATGCCTAATTTTGATTGCAATTTTATTGTTAGTCAATGCCATATTATTTGAGTTTTATTTTGTCTAATGGATTGTATAACTTTATTTTTTACTCGATTTATAGTAAACTGACAACAGGTAGTAGCAACACCAGCACGGTACCATAGACAAAGATGCATTCAGATTGAAAACATTTACGAAGCTAGTAGAAGAAACTGTCACTGTCATAATTTTTGACATTAATAATTTATCGCAGAGATTATACAAAGCAATAGACACTAAAAATAAAAAGGCTTTGTGTAGAAACAAACACCATCCCGGTGAAGTGTAGGCGTGCGGCGTGCGTGAATGAGTATAAAATGTTTGATTACAGGATTTTTGTTTTATATTATGTTTTAAAACATAATAATTATAGTGGAGCCGGGTCTCCAGCGCGTGTTTTGCCTTGCATAATCAACAAGACATGTCAACATTCAAAATATTGTCTTAAAAAAATGTTGAATGTTGACATGTTTTTGTTGATTGTGTTGAGCAACACGCGCTAGAAAGCTTTAGTCGGCTCTAGCTGGCTTAAGTCTTCTGTAGCAGTATTAGCAGTCTCTGTTTTTATCTTACTCATCCTTTGTCTCACAGCGTCACAGCATGCATTTGTACTTTGCAGTGTTGCCAGAAGGTTACTTTTGTAACCTTTTAGGTTACTTTTGAACTGCATTGGTTACTTTTAGGTTACACTAATGAAAAGGTTACTTTTAGGTGATTTTTCAGAAATTGTAGAAATAACTTTTACAGGTTAATCAGTAAAAAATATTTATAGTAACAATTTAAAAATGATGTCATAAACATGAATTTGATTTATTATTTGTTAAAAAAATGAGATTTAGCGAATGTTTTTCGATAATGAAATGCAAATCCATGAAACGTTTTTATACGACCGCGACCGGTCACTTTTCGGTCTTCATGGAATGGTCAAATGGTCAAATTTTAAATTTCGGTAAACGATCGATGATCAATTGTATTCATTTTCCATCCATGAACAATCGCTCCCCCCCCCGTATGAAGGTTACTTTTTATTCAAAAAGGTTACATTTTTTCATATTTCTGGTAATTTCTGACAAGATCCGACTGGCAACACTGGTACTTTGCTACATACATCGCCCTGCCCCCCTAGATATGTTGCAAAATGTGACAGTTTTTATGTCGAAAGATGGTCGAACAGCCTTTTTTTGTATGAAATTACAACAAATAATTGTAACCACGGATTCAATTTTCGATTCAATCAAAGTTACTTTTACGTGCTCAGTGGCTACTTGTCTAGACCCACTGGATATATCGGGGTTTATCATATCTCTGGAGTCTGGCTTTTTTTTTGTGTGACGCTTGGAATCTGACAGACAGCTTGCAGCTGTCATCATCATAGAGAAAAGTAATACATAGGAAATAGAGAACCCTCTCTGTCAAATTTTTGAGCCTACTAATTGACAGCCTGCCTGGTGTTAAATTCGCTGTACTTAACCTACGTACGTAACGCTCACATACACACATAGTACACGCACACATACATACATAAAGTCCACGCACACATACACACAGTTCACGCACACATAGGCCCTCATAACCTTCAAAGAATTATTGTTTTTATGATGTACAATGTAGAATTTTTTCAAATCCATTATTTTGAAAATATTTATCTTTATGGTGTACGTATTGTATTATTTTCAAAACAATGGATTTGGAAAAATTCTACATTGCACATGGAAATGCAAATAAGTAAACAAAAACTTTTGAATTTAATAATTTTACTTTATTTATGAACACACATAATAATATATACCAAAAGCGTCTTTTCGCAAAGTTTTCAACAACACTAAAAAAGCATTTGCACATTGAGAAAACTCAGATCACTTGTTAACATAACAGAAAGTTTCTTAGCGATTCACGAAGGAACGAACAAAACTCCGATGAACCAGAACAGCAGCAGGTACGAAGGAATGAACTTGAATTTGACTCGACTCTTCAATACTTTAATAGGGCCACAGAACTCATAAACGATGGCTAAGAAAACAAGAATGCATTCAATTCAACCTAACAAAAACAACACCGGCCATTTTGGAGGAAAAACAAAGTTGCCATATGTTAAATAGTAATTTCTACTACTCTATTACAAAACTGAACGCAAAAATCAAGAACCCTGTCGTGGCTAAACGCAATCCGCGAGAGGCATAAAGAAAAAAAAAAAAGTATTGGAATTTATCGACTGAAGTCGCTGTTTGGAAGCAAGTTTGATCGTAGCACAGATTAGAGAGTATGGATCGTAGTATGGAAGTTTCCGTACCCTGCTAGTAACGTATTTTTATTTTGAATTACAGATTGAATCGAATTGTTTATTATTTATTTCCATTGTTCTTTATCAGCTAATGAGCAAACAAAATCGTGATGGCGGATGTTGAAGATATTATTGACTACATAAAGTCATTGAAGAAAGGTTTCGATAAAGATTTGTTTCAATCTAAGATAGATGAATTGGCGTATGCAGTTGAAACCACTGGACTGCATTACGATGATTTTCATACTTTATTCAAGCTTTGGTTGAACCTATCCATACGTAAGTCAAATTCAAATTCAAATTCAAATTTTTTATTGCATATTAAGTCTATTTTTAACATAGAAATCTTGTTAACAGGATAGGCAACACAAAGCGTGATGTTCACAAAATATATTTCTTTCAGCCATCACAAAATGGACAAGTTTGGGAGCGTGCTTGGTGCCCCCAGATACTGTAGAAGAAAAAACTGTTGATTATTCCTTTCGTTGGATCCTTGCTAATTGTGAAAATCAATCAAGTTTTTCTAGAATAGGTTTTCTACTAGATTGGCTGACTGGTATGTACATCTATAATGTAATTTTATAACTAAACCTTAACAACACTTAAATGATTTTCATACAACATTTTTAAAATCTTTTTACAGTGGCAATGGACTGTGAATGCATTGATATGAAAGCTTTAGACTCGGGATATGAAATATTTTATATCATGTTGACTTATGAAGTCTTGGTAAGTCCCTATCATTTAATCAACTTAAATTATAAACACTATCCTCTCTTGTTAATTAGAGAGTTTAATTTGATATCCCGAAATCTGTTTTTGGGATTAGGATATTTATGTTTTCATTTATAATCAACCATAAGTAACAGTTGTGAGTTAAACTTGGTGTGTTATGTAAAAATAATTGGAAGATAATTTGTTTCTATTTTCCAATTCCAGACAGTTCATGCAATTAAACTTGTTTACACTTTGACCAAACCAATTGATGTGACCAGGAGAAGGGTGCTAGAGTTACTTGACTATGCCAAGAAAAGGGAGGGCAAAAAGGTTTGTACTCTAATATTTTTTATTAAGTAATTATGATGTATTTTATGGGTAACAAAATACACTCAGAATTTTAATTCAGTAAGTATATTTGACTAAAAAAACATGATTAGAACATTAAGAAGGATTCTATCAAGGGATGCAATATTTTACAAAAAAAATTACATAATTTGGAAATGAATTATAATTATTTAGAATTTAATATTTAAGTAATTACTACAAAAATTGCTGTTAGGACAAAGAGTCATTCTAGAAGTTTTTCAAACAATTTGTTTTATAAATTGTTGATTTCATACTTTAATTTTACATCATCCCATTTCAGAACATGTATCGCCAGCTGCAGGTATTGCTGGGTTTGTTCAAGTCGTACAAACCTGAGTGTGTGCCCGAGGATGTTCCTGCTATATCCATACACACAGCCTTCAAGAAAGTGAATGTAGCTTTGATCTCCAGATTCAGGAGAGTCCAGGTATGAGGTAGCAGAATACCATCTTATTTTCGGAAGTATGTAGGTAATTAGTTTTTCAAATGATGAAAAAGAACTTCTTAGTAAAAGCTTGTGTAGTATATAGTATTGTGTAGTAAATTATGGTCTTTATAATAACAAAAAAGTATGCTATTATCTCATTTCATATTTACAATTATTTTGCATGTTTAGTGCAAGCACAGGTGTTTTCACTCAAGATGTAAAGAACATCACAACTCAATTTTTATATTAAAATGGTGTGAAATGTTTAATTAGACTTTTGTTCACAGGAGCGCAGAAACATTTTGAGTAAAGAAAGGCACCATTTAATGTGGATCAACCCATTGAATTCTGTAAGTATTTAAAATAAAATATATTTTTTCCCCTTTTTATATCTGCAATCGACTTAGGTCATAATCAGATGTTTTGTCTTGCTTTTTTGTTTGTGTTCATGAGGAGGGGTATTCCAGTGAATTCTCTCCCTCGGTTTTTACCAATTCACGTAGCAATCTAGTCCAGGCTTCCAATATTCAGTCCTAAAAAAAAAAATATGATTAAAAAATATTCTTAGTATGTAAATAATATTTAAAATATTGTGTTATCACCAGGATCGCGGTAGAAATAAGAAAGTTGAGCCACTTGTGCCAAACATGGAGTTCATCAACGTTGGGGCCCAACAATATTCAGACAAAGAACCACAGAAGAACTATCTTGATTTCTCAGAGTAAGTTGAGTTTTTTGCATGGCTATTTCATACTATTGTTAAAGGAGAGCACTTTGCCCTTAAATGCCAAATAAATTACTAAAGTAGATTAGCAGTAGCCCGAGAAAAAAAATCAATCTTTGATTTATAATTTTGATTTCATCTAAGAATTTTATTGGAAACGGTAGAAACGGAAAATCTCAACATTTTTTTGTCAAATAAGATATTAAGCTGGGCCTTCACTAGAGGCAGCCTCGGGTCGAGCGGCCGTCTCGATCCGCGGCTACTCAAAGCTTCGAATCCATTAGAGCAGCCTCAGGCCGAGCAGTCTCTTCTTGAGGCAGACTGAGACTGCTTAAATGGATACGAGGGTCCAGACACGTTGCGGATCGAAGAGAGGCGATAAAATTCGACAAAATCCGACCCGGTCCGTGGCGAAGTTTGCCTTGCAACGAGTCGTGCCTCATGTTGAGGCCGCTCGCCATAAGGCTGCCTCTAGTGGATACGCGGCAGACGCTGCCTCAAAGTCGTGGCTCAGGCTCTAGCGACAGCGCCCACTGGGCGATAAATAACCACTAGGTGACAGACGCGGCCAAAAAACGCGTGCGCGCGTTATTTCATATTATTAGCTTGTCCAGTGTGCGCTGTCGTTTAGATAACTGCATTGTATTTCCAGTCCAGTATCGCTACTGCAGTACAGTCTCCACCACCCAATGTCCCGGCCGGCGCGGCTTCGGGCGCTGCTATGCAACGAAACAGGCCTCACTTTACTGGCAGTGGCCTCCGATGCTGACCACGCCTTCCTGACGCACGACCTGCATCACTTGCTGACCAACTGTAAGTATGAACAATGTCGCTAATGCAGTACAGTCTTCACCACCCAATGTCCCCGCTGGCGCGGCTTCGGGCACTGCTGTGTAACGAGACGGGGCTCACTCTACTGGCAGTGGCCTCCGATGCTGACCACGCCTTCCTGACGCATGATCTGCATCACTTGCTGACCAACTGTAAGTATGAACAATGTCGCTAATGCAGTACAGTCTTCACCACCCGATGTACCGGCCGGCGCGGCTGCGGGCGCTGCTGTGTAACGAGACGGGGCTCACTCTACTGGCAGTGGCCTCCGATGCTGACCACGCCTTCCTGACGCACGACCTGCATCACGACCTGCATCACTTGCTGACCAACTGTAAGTATGAACTGAGTAAAAATCTCTTTACTGATATTTGAGTTATCTGTGGGCGCTGCTGTGTAACGAGACGGGGCTCACTCTACTGGCAGTGGCCTCCGATGCTGACCACGCCTTCCTGACGCACGACCTGCATCACTTGCTGACCAACTGTAAGTATGAACTGTGTAAAAATCTCTTTACTGATATTTGAGTTATCTGTGGGCGCTGCTGTGTAACGAGACGGGGCTCACTCTACTGGCAGTGGCCTCCGATGCTGACCACGCCTTCCTGACGCACGACCTGCATCACTTGCTGACCAACTGTAAGTATGAACTGTGTAAAAATCTCTTTACTGATATTTGAGTTATCTGTGGGCGCTGCTGTGTAACGAGACGGGGCTCACTCTACTGGCAGTGGCCTCCGATGCTGACCACGCCTTCCTGACGCACGACCTGCATCACTTGCTGACCAACTGTAAGTATGAACTGTGTAAAAATCTCTTTACTGATATTTGAGTTATCTGTGGGCGCTGCTGTGTAACGAGACGGGGCTCACTCTACTGGCAGTGGCCTCCGATGCTGACCACGCCTTCCTGACGCACGACCTGCATCACTTGCTGACCAACTGTAAGTATGAACTGTGTAAAAATCTCTTTACTGATATTTGAGTTATCTGTGGGCGCTGCTGTGTAACGAGACGGGGCTCACTCTACTGGCAGTGGCCTCCGATGCTGACCACGCCTTCCTGACGCACGACCTGCATCACTTGCTGACCAACTGTAAGTATGAACTGTGTAAAAATCTCTTTACTGATATTTGAGTTATCTGTGGGCGCTGCTGTGTAACGAGACGGGGCTCACTCTACTGGCAGTGGCCTCCGATGCTGACCACGCCTTTCTCACGCACGACCATCATTCTCACCACGTGCATCACTTGCTGACCAACTGTAAGTAGGAAGCAAATACAAACGAAAAATTTAGCACTAACGTCTGATTCATTTGCGGGCGCTGCTATGCAACTAAAATGGCGCTCATGTTGTTGGCGTTTTCTTCACGCACGACATGTTTCACTTGCTGACTAGCTGTGAGTGTCTACCTTTTGAAGTACTTATGTCTGATTCATATGCCAGCGAAGAAAGGGACTCACATTACTAGTAGTAGTAAGCACGCATTCATGAATTGTAGGGGAGTGAAAAGAAGTATTGTGAGACCTGTGTTGACTTACAAATCGCCGTGAGATTCTTACTTACATTCATAATCTAAATTACTCCAATACTAATCGTAACATTTACTCTGCTGCATTTCGGAAACTTCAGCTGTAAGTATTCCATATTTGACTTTAATTATATTATAATAAGATTCACTACAACATTGTCATCCTTCCCCAGGTTTCCTAGACGTGTCACCTCACAGTGCAGTAGAGAAGCGCGACCTCTTAAGGCGGTTAGTCTTGCTCCAGAACACATTACTGCAAGCCGTGCCCATCGTCACTCGGTTCTTAGCGCAGTACCTACCGCTGTGGAATGAGATCGACTTCTATGCTGAGGTGAGAGCAACACAGATTATACCACTGGCTGTACATAGTAACTGAACGATTGAAACTAAGTAAGACCGCGGTCGCAACTTATGAAAAAAAAAAACTTAGCAAAACTGTTCATATCATAGTCCGCTGTAATTGATTTTGGCAAACTTGTAAACTAGCAAGGCTGAACATAATTGACAACAAACTCTAAGGAACCTACACCAGCGTCTTTCGAGTGCAACGGCGGTGAGGGTGTTGCGTTACTTGTTTGACAACGTTGCGTGGACGCGACGTCAGCGCTGCGTCGACGCTGCGCGGGCGCTAACAAAACGACGACACTCGAAAGACGCTAGTGTAGTGGATGTCTAAACCCTAGTAACGTGAAAACCCTAGTAATTTGAGTAACCAAAGCACGAAAGCCTATTTGATTGCAAAGTGGAATAATATTGAAATTACTGATAGAAGACACTAAAATATTTGTATACGACTTTAAACTTACGCGTTCCATTTCAACTAAAATAGAGAATCACGGGTCTCAGAGTTACATAAAATTTTGCGTTGAGACCAGCAGAATAGTTATTGTAAATATTTTCACCATTTTTTTTATTAAAGATACTAGCTGACCCGGCGAACTTCGTACCGCCTTAGCGTAGAGATTTTCTTAATATTTTTTTCCGTAAGAACCATCCTTGGACTTCCACAAACATTTAAAAAAAAGAATTATCGAAATCGGTTCAGCCGTTCACACGTGATGCCGTGACAACGCGAAACGGGTTTCATTTTTATATATATAGATAGATTAGTAATTCGTTATTACACAAATTACTAATACTCCCGTTAGCCCCTCGTACTAAGCTAAATATACTTATATTACGAGTAAGCTCACCACAATAGTCGAGCGGCGGCGGGGACCAAACCCGCGTTCCCCGGTTCACGAGTCGGCCAGTCCGACCCCTTCACCGTTCGGCTATCGTGGCTTCTGTTTATAGATGACCCACGCTGAACTGTCCCACCAAACTCAATGACAAGGGGGCGCTACCATCGTTCAACTATATGGTTTCCAACATGGCAAAAATCGGAAGCAGCGATCCGGTATTACCGGTGGCGCCCCACTGTCAATGTCATGGATAGGACAGTTCAGTATTTTGGAACTATACCAATGTTTTGCTATCATTTCCATTCCCTAGATACTGGATCTAGTGCAGTGGGTGAGCGTGGACAGCCCCGACCAAGTACGGGGTATAGTGGAGCCCCTATCGAGGGCGTACCACCGCTCGCAGCCGCTGGAGCAGTGCGCCATACTCAGGAGCTTGACCAATATGTACACAAATATGGTATGTTTTTATTGATTCGTAGTTACGATATGATTTCTCTTTCTAATCAAAGTACATAGAGTATTGACACTGAGGGTTATTTTCATACTTTTTATCATAGTTTTTGTTAATGTCTATTTATTAATATTACAAATTAGCTGACCCCGCGAACTCTGTTCCGCCTTAAAGGCAATAAATAAGCCATCGCAATTTTTCCTTATTTGCTCACCGTTTAGACCTACCCTGGACTACGACAAACATTATAAAACCAAAATCAGCTCAATCGGCCCAGCCGTTCTCGAGTTTTAATCAGATTAACGAACAGCAATTCATTTTTATTTATATAGATAGATTAATTTCTAAAGCAAAAATGATCATCTGTTAAAGATATGAGTTAGGGATGAGAGTTATGGAGCACAGCTGAGTTGATGACGTATGTACTGGATTGGGAGATAAGCGCCCTGGATTTGGCCTAAGTACTGAATAATAGCTTTGACTTTGAAGTTCTTTGCCATCTTAAGCCTTGTACCTACTTTGAGCATGCTCAAGCGAATCTGCTCGGCCACATGAGCGACTCATGTGACTCATTGGGCCGGGCTTCACAGCTTGGTTACTTCGCACATTTCTAGCCTGAGAAAAGTTACGAATTTGAGTTGTCAAGAGTGTGAGATCCACTTCAGTGTGTGAGATTCGCTTCATAGAGCTATTCTAATTGTACCTTGTGTGTTCCTTTTCTTCTGTTATGTTATTTGTTTGGTGTGCAATAAAGTGTATTTATTATTATTATTATGTTTCTTCGGCAGCTATACGGGAGTACAAAGCGTCGCCAGCACTTCAAAAGCCCACAGCCGTACTACACATACGCGCTGTCGTACGTGGCCTCCAGCATCAGTCGTTTGAGCAGCTTGGCGGTGCAGGCCGACCCTGGTACGTATGTTTCAGAGTTTTAGGCCCGGTTTCCACCAAAGTGGAGAGAGAAGAGATGTGTTTAAATAACCAATCAGATTTTGTTATTTCGAGGATAGTTTGGACTTTCNGCACGAAAGCCTATTTGATTGCAAAGTGGAATAATATTGAAATTACTGATAGAAGACACTAAAATATTTGTATACGACTTTAAACTTACACGTTCCATTTCAACTAAAATAGAGAATCACGGGTCTCAGAGTTACATAAAATTTTGCGTTGAGACCAGCAGAATAGTTATTGTAAATATTTTCACCATTTTTTTTATTAAAGATATTAGTAATTCGTTATTACACAAATTACTAATACTCCCGTTAGCCCCTCGTACTAAGCTAAATATACTTATATCACGAGTAAGCTCACCACAATAGTCGAGCGGCGGCGGGGACCAAACCTGCGTTCCCCGGTTCACGAGTCGGCCAGTCCGACCCCTTCACCGTTCGGCTATCGTGGCTTCTGTTTATAGATGACCCACGCTGAACTGTCCCACCAAACTCAATGACAAGGGGGCGCTACCATCGTTCAACTATATGGTTTCCAACATGGCAAAAATCGGAAGCAGCGATCCGGTATTACCGGTGGCGCCCCACTGTCAATGTCATGGATAGGACAGTTCAGTATTTTGGAACTATACCAATGTTTTGCTATCATTTCCATTCCCTAGATACTGGATTTAGTGCAGTGGGTGAGCGTGGACAGCCCCGACCAAGTGCGCGGTATAGTGGAGCCCTTATCGAGGGTGTACCATCGCTCGCAGCCGCTGGAGCAGTGCGCGATACTCAGGAGCTTGACCAATATGTACACGAATATGGTGAGTACTCATTAACTTGTGTTTAGTTATGATAGGACTGCTCTTCCCAATCCTTCCCCCGGATACGGCCTGAGCCGAGGTCCGAGCCTACCGTTGCGCCCTCAGGCCGCGTCCGTAGTCCCCTCGATCGGGCCCACTATTAGAGTGAGCCCACCGAAGGCTGGACTTTGGTCCAACACCGCGGTGGGCAACCCTCTAGTTGGGTTCGCCACTGATCGGGTGCCTTATGCGCTCGATACGGCCCGATCGCGAATGTCGGTCTGCGACCGACGAGGCCGAGTGTGGGCTTCGCGAGACACGCGCACCGACGATCGCCAAACGGCTAGAGTACCTTCTGTACTCGCCACTCTGCCCGGCGAAGCTGGAAAAGCTCTTCAAGCTACCAGCGCGCGTCCAAAAAAGGACTGCTCTTAATTATCAAAATAGAATAGAATAGAAAGTATTTATTTGTCTCAAAACAGGTTTCATTTACAGTTTTTCACAGATACAAAAAATCAAAAAATCATAAATACACACAATATTGAAACTGAGGGTTGTTCAAATGCCTTCCATAATCATCATCAAAGCCACAGAACGTCCACTGCTGAACATAGACTTTTCCCAACGATTTCCTGCAAACAGATCCAACGCCTTCCTGCTACCTTTATGACGTCGTCGGTCCACCTTATTAGGTGCGTTTTCCGGTACGTGGCCTCCACTCCAGAACCTTTGTACTATGTGCCCTGCCCATTGCCATTCTTCGCCATCTTAATGAGAGTACTATGGCTCTATTACCATCACTCTCTATGATGGAAATAGACTCATAGCTTAGTCCTGATTTCTGAGAAAAGTTACGTGAAATCGCTAAGCGTAGGATTACCTTTCCCGCCTATAGCTTCCTAGAGCTTTTCTTAGTTACCTCGCACATCTCTAGCCTGAGAAAAGTTACGAATGTGAAGTTGTCAATAGCGTAAGATCCACACTTACGCTTCATAGAGTTATTCTATGTTTCTTCGGCAGTTATACGGGACCACAAAGTGGCGCTTCGTTCACAGCTTGGTTACCTCGCATATGAGCTTGAGAAAAGTTACGAATGTGAAGTTATCAATAGCGTAAGATCCACTTTTTATTAACGCTTTATAGAGCTATTCTAATTATATGTTTCTTCGGCAGCTATACGGGAGTACAAAGCGGCGCCAGCACTTCAAGAGCCCGCAGCCGTACTACACATACGCGCTGTCTTACGTGGCCTCCAGCATTAGTCGCTTGAGCAGCTTAGCGGTGCAGGCCGACCCTGGTACGTATGTTGCAGAGATTTAGGCCGGGTTTCCACCAAAGTAAAGAGAGAAAAGATGTGTTTCGGTAATTTCGTGCAGTTTCGGTTTGGATATTGGTTGTTCAATCAACTCCTTCCTCTTTTTCTCTATAGAAACTCTGGAAACCAGGCCTTAACCTAGGTGCAATGTAGATGAATAATAATAATAACTTTATTTATTTCTCTCTTTACAAAATACATAAAGTCACAATTTGTAACGGGTAATTATAACAACAAGGAACAAAAATAAGTATTTCGTAGAGACTGGTGTCCGTACTAGGATACCCTGTGCTACAGCACAATGTAGATGAATCATAAGTTTTTGCTTTTATATGGACACGATATTTACCTTTAATTTGCATATTTGTAACATAAGTTATCTTTAAATGGCCAGGTTGGCGTCAGTCTTATCAGATTTTCAGTCAGTTTTGTACAAGTGTTGGTTACTGTTTTAATTGTTTTGGGAGCAGGCGGGCTCCATTGATCGCTGGTTCCTGGATACCTTTCCAGTATCGCTGCAGGAAGCGGCCTAGATAGGGCTATAGATAGATATAGAGGTTGGAGTAGGAAGATAAATAAAAAATCGCGCACAATGGCCTAGTCCCTCTTGATTGAGCCATTGTGCGCGGTTCAGTGCGACTCAATCGCCTTGCAAAACTAACTAACTAACCTTCCCAGAGTGTCCAGTGAAAAAAGGGCCTATAGTCAATAACAGTATTAAATTAAAATTTATACAGTCCTTTATAATAACGTATCGTTATAGATGACATGCGCATACTACACAGCGTGTCATTCGCGGCGGTGCGCGCAGCTCGAGCGGAACTGACGCGGCGCGCGAGCGCGGGCGCGGTGCCGGCGCTGCTGCCGCTGGCCGCGCCGCTGCTGGCTGCCTCCGCCGCGCTGGTCGATGCCGCTGCCGGGCTTATCATGCTGTGAGTACACTACAGCCTGGTCCGTGAGCACGTAGAATTTTGTCCAATGACCCCAAGCTACCCATCCTTATCGCTCGGGCGGAGCTGACGCGGCGCGCGAGCGCGGGCGCGGTGCCGGCGCTGCTGCCGCTGGCCGCGCCGCTGCTGGCTGCCTCCGCCGCGCTGGTCGATGCTGCCGCCGGGCTCATCATGCTGTGAGTATACTTAACGACTACAGACTAAAGTCCGGTCGCCGAGCACGTAGAATTTTGTCCAATGACCCCAAGCTACCCATCCTTATCGCTCGAGCGGAGCTGACACGGCGCGCGAGCGCGGGCGCGGTGCCGGCGCTGCTGCCGCTGGCCGCGCCGCTGCTGGCTGCCTCCGCCGCGCTCGTCGATGCTGCAGCCGGTCTTATCATGCTGTGAGTATACTTAACTGCGCGATGGGCGGCCGCAGTGACTGTGCGAGCGCGACAGCAATATAATTACGCGCGAGCGATAAGGATGGGTAAAGACGAAATTCTACGTGCTCGGTGACCGGCCTTTACCTATTAGGGATGTACCGCAGAGTGTACACGCGACCCGTTGCTGCCTCCACCGCGCTGGTCGATGCCGCCGCCGGGCTTATCATGCTGTGAGTACACTACACTACTATAGACTAAAGTCCGGTCGCCGAGCACGTAGAATTTCGTCCAATGACCCCAAGCTACCCATCCTTATCGCTCGCGCGTAATCATATTGCTGTCGCGACTGCGCGACGGGTGGCTGCAGTGAGTGAGTGTGCGAACGAAATTCTACGTGCTCGGCGACCGGACTTTACCTACCGCGGAGTGTACACGCTACGTGGGCCACCGGTAGCGCCGCTTGTGACTTCCTCCGCCGCACTTATTGAAGCCGCCGCCGGGCTCATCATGCTGTGAGTACACTAAACTATTGGACCATTACTAGGGATGTATCGCATAGTGTACACGCGATTCGGACGCGGTGCCGGCGCTGCTGCCGCTGGCCGCGCCGCTGCTGGCTGCCTCCGCCGCGCTGGTCGATGCTGCAGCCGGGCTTATCATGCTGTGAGTACACTAAACGACTGTAGACTAAAGTCCAGTCACCGAGAATTTCGTCCAGCTACCCCAAGCTACGCGACTGCGCGACGTGTGACCGCAGTGAGTGTGTGAGCGCGATATTACGCGCTAGCGACAAAGCTGGGTAGATTGGGGTTATTGGATGAAATTCTACGTGCTCGGCGACCGGACTTTACCTATTAGGGATGTACCGCGGAGTGTACACGCGACGTGGGCAGCTGGTGGCGCCGCTCGTGACTCCCTCCGCTGCGCTCATTGAAGCCGCCGCCGGGCTCATCATGCTGTGAGTATACTAAACGACTATAGACTACTGCTAGGGATGTACTGCGGAGTTAACACGCGCGCAGGCGCGGTGCCGGCGCTGCTGCCGCTGGCCGCGCCGCTGCTGGCTGCCTCCGCCGCGCTGGTCGATGCTGCTGCCGGGCTTATCATGCTGTGAGTATACTTAACGACTACAGACTAAAGTCCGGTCGCCGAGCACGTAGAATTTCGTCCAATGACCCCAAGCTACCCATCCTTATCGCTCGCGCGTAATTATATCGCTGTCGCGACTGCGCGACGGGTGGCCGAAGTGAGTTTGTGAGCCACGACCACTATTAGGAATGTACCGCGTAGTTTACACGCGATTCGGCGCGGTGCCGGCGCTGCTGCCGCTGGCCGGCCACGCCGCTCCTGGCTGCCTCCGCCGCGCTCGTTGATGCTGCTGCCGGGCTCATCAGGCTGAGTTGCATCACCTTAACTTTAATCAGTGCTTTTGTGTGGAGTTTGACAGACTTTTGACGTTTGTTATAATTGAAGTAAGATGGTGGAAGCCAGAATAAGTGGTCTAACTACAGTAAAACTAATGGCCGTTGAGGCAGAATAGTTCTCTAGTGGCGACCACAGACTGAAAGGCGCGGCGTGGACGGGCCTTCCAATCAGTGGCCGGTCGTTGTTGAAATCTTTGGGAGGGGTCTTTACCCCGCAGTATACCTTAAGTTTTTGGTATATAGTGTTTTAATACAGTTATGTACTAGAATTATGAAAATCAAAATCAGAAAAGTAGAATTAGACCACCCTCACTTTGCTTGTGTATATTGTAAGAGGTGACTAAGGAAGAAATATTCAGAAAACTGGCAACAATTGCACTGCCGTTTTTTGTATTTATCGTCTAATAAGCGACAATATCAAACAATACTTCATCTTTCACAGGTACAAAAAGATCTTCTCGGCCATGAAGTCCGCAAACAAGATACAAAAAGACGACCAAACATACATGGAGCAGTTTCGCACCTTGCAGAGTTACACTTGCGACTTGATCAGTTGTTTGTACGGCGAGGAGGCGTTCAGAAGCCGCAACAACGGCATCGTGTTCGAGAAACTTTCGCCTCAACTAGTCGGAAAATTGTACTCTCTAATGCCAGACATAGATACAAAGTTCAGCCTTCGGAACCACATAGCGTTCGCACCGTACACCTATATGCAGTTGGAAGCCATAGATCACGCAGATGCGGATAATAAGCTATGGTTCGACTCGGTCATAGACCAAGAGTTTCCTAATCTGAGCAACTTCCTAAAGAAGGCGGTGCCCGAGATTCGTTCTTAAGCGGTTTAGATTAGGTGTTAAATTAGGTTTGTTGATCATCCGCCTTAATTAACTATAGTTGGGGACCAAATACAGATAAACACAAAGTTCAAGTGCCTGATAAGTTTTCAAATCAAGAAAGAATTGCATGTTATAAGAGCGTGTTTTCCATTTTATTGCATGGACGGTAGTTTACTTCTTTTCGTTTAATATCTGAAACCGGCTTAATTAAATTCGAACCTGATTAGTAGAACTCCATTTTTAGAATTTTTTTCTCAGTACATAATTAATTTATGTAATTCTATATTATATGTAATCATGATGCCTTCATATGGGATATTGTCTTCTTAATTTCTTAAATGTTAATTTGTTTTAAAGACAATTAAATTGATGATTTAGAATTATGTTCACGATTTGTTTTAACCCATTATAGACTAGCGGTCCCATATGGTACCACTTTTTTGTGTGTTTTAATTTGGCTCTATACATTAACACGTGAAAAGATGCAGTGCTCTGATTGATGCAAGTCGTAGCAAATAGATATGGTCTATGCTTCTAGGAATAAAAATTGACATTTATTCTTTTCAGTTGTGTGTAATTGATGATTGAAGTGAGCGCATCAAAATTTTCTCTTAAAAATTGACGCGTTATAAAAGTAAGTGATCATATTTTTTTTGTGTGATAGTGAAATACTGATATTGTTACAATCTTGTATTCTCCATAAGTGTTTTTATTGTGAAATGATGTAAAATTACGTCGATAAGTAATAATAATGGTAAATATTGTATGTCAAAATTACTGGTACCGTACGGTACCGCTAGCCGCTTACCGTGTCTCTTTAATTATTTTATGATTTTTTGTTTTTACTGTATTTATTGGGAAGTATGTGATATATTCAATGGTATATAAGGTATACAGGAAGATAAAGTAAAATAGTTTCCTAAACTTTACAAAACCATGGGTTTTTATTTATTTTAGAAGTAACTTACACGAAACATTGGCAGTTTTGGAGGACGATGAAGGTCCCAAGACGAAGCAGAAATTTATAGAACGAACTCAAGATAATTGCAACTCTCGAACAATATCAGAGTATAGAAAATGTAACGTGGGGCTATGTGCAGCGTGCAATGCCAAGCTCCATTCCAAATTTTTGAATATTCAAAGATAAAAATGAATATTGCTTAACCAATATACAGCTTTTTATATTTAATATCACTCCTGTTATTTGCTTGTATATTAATACATATTATAATAATAATAAAATATATAATTTACCCTATTTTTATAAAGACCATGATAAAGTTATGTTTTAACCAACTGACACGGTAAGAGGCTAGCGGTACCATATGGTACCAGCATTTTTTTTCTAGATTACAGGTCGGATAATTTTTTTAATGCTTGTATAGCATTATGTAGACCATAATTATGAACACATTTCAAAAAAACAAAAATCTGACACTTTAAGAAAACTCAGTCTATAATGGGTTAATCGCGAAAATTTCATGTCGATAAAATCAATTTTAAAGATCAGTAGGCCTTAGATACGTGCCGCGATAAGCGGTTATCACGCCATTTTATCGATTTAGCCCATACATTTTACGTCGATAAAAGTTGTCACGGCGCGCATCTTAGGCCTAAAGGACGAATAGATGTAACTCTAAATTAAGAGACTAATGCCCGTTTTCACCATCAATCCCTAATTTTTAAGTGACCCCTATGGTAACACATAACAGGCATTTTATTTTCATAGAGGTCACTTAAAAATTGGGCATTGATGGTGAAAACGGGCATAAAGATATTTTTATGATATAAGTTTTTCAAGAAACGGGTTTCTTTGGCAACGATGGCACGGTAATACTATCATAAGTATTACCGTGACGATGGTTGCTTAAGTAGGCACTAACCCACCGTACTTTTACATTACACAATAAATTGTACTATTTTAATATTATAGAACTTGTTTCATTTACGTTACTTACGTACCTTCCCATACTTTTAACATTTATGGTAGAAAGCACTAAGTTCGGTTACCGATTCGGTAATCGTAAAGCCCTTATTTCACCATTATGGTCGGTTAGCAAAACCATTTGGTGCTGAAGTTGAAAGAGCTCTTAAAATAAAAAATACTTATATTTGTTATTAATTATACTATTATAGGTAGGTACTTAATAATTGCTAACCAAATACGAATATTTATACCGTTTTATACAAGGAATGACCTCCACCGAGGTGGCAAAGTTGTATAAATATTTAGATTTTTCTGTCCCCAGGCACCGTTGGTTGGTTTTAATTAATTTAATAAAGGAACCAAAGCGTTTCATGTAAAACGCCCACGTCCATCTCCAAGGACGAAAAGCCTCGTAATGGCTAAAACAAAATGGAAAAAATATTTTTACTGTCCCATTTCGACGATAGGCCCGAAATATTTGCCCGGCCTTAATTTTCGTGAAATTGATTAAATTATCCGTCGCTCTGTCCACGCTCGGGTCCTGCGAAAACAACGAATCAAAATAAGCCGAAGTGGTGCTTAGGGCTCCCCTTAATTACTCCTTTAAAAAGTGCCCGGGCCCCTCGCGCTTGCGTCGCGTAACGCGATTAATATAATTATTATCAGCTTGTATTGTGAGCTTATCGATTTACCCAAAACTAGCAGGTCCAAAATTTTGAATGATGGTAAGTTTTATAAAATATTTTTGGCACTGCTTGACTGTGCTAAATTATCGTCAAAATATACGCTTTTTACAATATCGGTGATAATTTTAAAAGTTTCTAGCGGCCCGCCCCAGCTTCGCACGGAACGGAACACATATTTTCAGAAAAACAAATATGATTGTAATGGTGAAAGAATTTTTCAAATCGGTCCAGTAGTTTCGGAGTACCTAGTACCTATTCAATACAAACATACTTACAATANTAACTGATTCGTGTCGAAACGAGTTCGGGCGTTGCCACGAAACGCACAAATGTGCACAATCGGCTTGTATACGTGAATAACGAAGGCTACCCGCTTTGGGCGGTATACCCGCTTTGGGCTCACCTCCCCTACAAGATCATTATCGGTCCATTCCTCACTTGCTCCACGCCATAATTTAATATTGCTATCTAAAAACCATTAACGTCCCACTTTTAATTCCCGAAAATACATTGCTTGCACCGAGGTAAGTTACATTTCCATTTCCTCTTGTAACTGGTGCTCATTTATTTTTCTTGTCCGCTCGAAAGCATAAATTATGGACACCGTGGACCGAGACAGGCGGGGTTATTCTGAAAAACGTTATCCGAAGTTTCGAATGTTGCTATCCTTCTCACGCACAGCGAGATTCCAGCGCGAGCGACGGTGACAGATAGACCCGAAACTACGTAAACGGTGTTTAGGAATAGCCCCGCAGGCTCTGGGGAGGCAGGCGTGGGGTGCCGCCCTTCGCTACAATGAGAAATGTTTCGGTCCTTTTGTCCCCTCATGCCCCTTTTGCGAGCGACATCTTCAAGGATACTGTGTTAATCGGACCCTGCGATACTTTTTTCCAAGTACCGCCTCATGAAGTTGACTGGAAACGCTGGATTTTCCACAACACGGTCCTTGTTTGCTTTTGATTGTTGTTAGTCTGAGGAAAGTAGAGAAAAGTATTTTTTTTTGCTGTTTTCTTGTATCGGTATATTTTTATGGTATCAGTGTAATAGTAATTTTATTTTATGTGAGTTTTTGTGTCTCTCAGTTAAATCTACTCAGCTAACTCCTAATGCAGCATCTTAACAGGGGCATGCAGTGCCATTTTTTTATCCAGACACAGCCTAGGAACTAGACCCTGGAGAGGAGTAGAAATAAAGAAACCATTTTTCACGGGCATAGGTAGTTGTAGAAGTTCGCATTAGGCGCAGTTATAAGAAATTACTGCACCGATCGCATTAGGCTATTACAGTAGGTTAAAAAAATCAAAGCTACCAAAGACCAATTCCTAACTCTTCATGTAAATGTGTTAAATTGAAATGTCACGTAAGTAAAATGCGGAACCCAAAATTTTGCCCAAACCCCAAAATCAGGGTTGGTTAAAGTGCAGCTCGACTGACTTAGCGCGAAACGTTATGGCTCACTATTCCGAGGTAGAATGTGCGCAAGCAGCGATGGGGGCTACTGTAGGGTGCAATAGATCGCGAACCCTTTAAAGCTAAGGTTCCCAACATGTAGGATTAAGATACGAGAACCTGTGTATTGTTCACGGATTTGCCAACATAGCATAGCGTCAGAAATATCACAAGTAGGTATAGATATTACAGGGTCTATAAGACAGATAAATTGAAATAAATATCGAGCCTTAAACTTTAATATTATTTAATAACAATATTAAATATCTAATTAGATACTTATTAATGTAACACCAAAAGCCCGACTCCTAAAATCGACTCAAGTAAACCACTCGTCAACTATACATATTCCTCCAACACGCTTTTTTCTGTAACATCTTCCCACCAAACTATTTTTTCATTTGTAAATGTTTCCTTCTAGATCCATTCATCTATAGAACGGTCTTCCTAAAAAGTTATTGGTTGAATGCTGCCTGCAAATTCATCTTCAAAAATTGTGAGCGCAAACTTCATCCCTAGTGTACCTTCCTAATACTTTTAAATTTTATGTGAGTGCTTTCAAAGGTTGGGAACCATAGCATTCTACCACTCCGTTTTTTATCCCTCCTCTAAAATCTCTCTGAGAGTTTGTTTCGCAAGGGAATAACTACTGTTATTTTCTTCGGATTGTAGTTTAGGGTGGCTTCGCGTGAATCATGGCTGCGTTATTGTATATCGCTCGGATATAGGTCGATCTATTTTCTTCTTTCAATTCCGAGTGAATTGTAAAGACGTTTGTAGAGATAGTGCAAATAATTGTATGCTTGCGTGTAAATTGTGTTCTGGGAAGGATGGGCGGTTATAAAAACGTTGTTTATCATGAATTATTCATGATTGATATGAATTTGCTTCGAGATACAAATCTTGTAATGGACAGGCATCGTACCGAATGACAATAAGGATTTAATAACTACAGTTTTTTTCTTTATTGACTACCTTGCATTTGAAAAGTTAAAAGTAGCTAAGTGTAAAGAAAGAGATTTTATAATTTTTAATAATTCTATTGTGTAAGCTGTAAAAATGCCCGTGAGGAGTTGACATCTTTTTCAGGTATCCTATAAAGCCTCCATGCGGTTTGTGCAACCTGGTCTCATTTAGTTATTATGTACTTACGTATTACTTCAATGGCTGTGGTCTATGCGATCGGCTGAAAGCACCCGAAGGAATCAACTTCATTGTAGGGCGCTGAGGTTGCAGTTTTTCAGGCATGTAACATCCTTCCTTCCAACTATTGAATACTCATACTAGCGAACGCCCGAGCGAGCCTTTGTTCATGTGTGGTTTAAACGTTAGTTTC